ATTTGACATGTCCATGTTCCTGTCTGAGCATATGCCATGCTTGTGCCTTCTATGACTCAAGGGCAAGCTTCCTTTAGCTTTCAATAATATATAAAGTGTAGAAAAAAGAAAAAAAAAGGATTAGCTCAGAATATCCATTAAAATAATGCATACTGGAGGGCTGGTAAAGTATAATATTACTCCTGAGATTTCTACATATCCAAAATTCCCCCATGTTAGGTCAAAATTTCCTATTGAGAATAATGTGCTCTAATGTTCTAAATGAGGCACACTGACTGGATTTCAGAAAGTCACTTAGATTTATTGATTTATTTGAAAAGCAGAGTTAGAGAGAGAGAGAGAGAGAGAGAGAGAGAAAGGCTAAGATAGATAAATCTTCCTTCTGCTGGTTCACTCCCCAAATGGCCACAATGACCAGGGCTGGGCCAGGCCAAAGCCAGGAGTCAGGAACTTCTTCTGGATCTCCCACTTGAGTACAGGGGTCCAAGTGCTTAGGCCATTTTCTGTTGCTTTCCCAGGCATATTAGCAGGGAGCTGGATTGGAAGTGGAGCAGCCAGGTCTCGAACTGGAACCCATTAGGATGTCAGTACTGGAGGCAGTGGTTTTACCTGCTATGCCACAGCACCAGCCTATACATTTATTCTAAAGTTGATTAATACAGCTTACAAACAGCAGCCTTATACTGCCCCAGCTGAGATTTAAATCAAATACCAAAACTCTATACGAAACCCTATACAAAATATCTATAGATATTGACCAACCACTGTTAGCAAGGTGCTCCAAAGAATAAACAAATACAAAATAGGTCATTGTCATTTTTATTTAATTGCTGAAAGGCAGAAACTAATCTGCAGACAAACCACAGAATAATTCCTTCCTTTCCAATTATTCCCATTAATGTATTTCTTTCATTTTAAATCCAAAGTTGATTATTCACTTGTTATTCAAAGATTATAGATTGGGGCCAGCGCTGTGGTGCAGCGGGTTAATGCCCTGGCCTGAAACGCCGGCATCCCATATGGGCGCCAGTTCATGTCCTGGCTGCTCCATTTCCAATGCAGCTCTCTGCTATGGCCTGGGAAAGCAGTAGAGGGTGGCCCAGGTCTTTGGGCCCCTATACCCATGTGAGAGACCCGAAGGAAGCTCCTGGTTCCTGACTTCAGATTGGTGCAGCTCCGGCTGTTGCGGCCAACTGGGGTATGAACCAGCAGATAAAAGACCTCTCTTCTCTCTCTGCCTCTCCTCTCTGTGTAACTCTGACTTTCAAATAAATCTTTAAAAAAAATTATACAGAAGGTAAATTACTGGTCTCAAGAAGGATTCCATGTCAGACAGTTATTATAGGCAATGAATTTCAAAACATCAGCTATTAATAAAATTTATGATAATTCAAATCACGTGTGGATTTGATATTAAATCTAGTTTAATATTTTTATTTTTATTTATTTATGTATTTTTGACAGGCAAAGTTAGTGAGAGAGAGACAGAGAGAAAGGTCTTCCTTCCATTGGTTCACCCCCAAAGTGGCCACTATGGCCAGCGCGCTATGCTGATCTGAAGCCAGGAGCTGGGTACTTCCTCCTGGTCTCTCATGTGGGTACAAGGCCCAAGGACCTGGGCCATCCTCCACTGCCTTCCTGGGCCACAGCAGAGCTGGACTGGAAGAGAAGCAACCAGGACAGAACCGGTGCCCCAACTGGGACTAAAACCCAGAGTACCAGCGCCGCAGGCAGAGGATTAGCCTAGTGAGCCGCGGCGCTGGCCCTAGTTTCATTTTTTAAAGATTTATTTATTTGAAAGAGAGACAGAAAGATCCTCCCTCTGCTGTTTCACTCCTCAGTGTCTGCTATGGCCAGGGCTGGACCAGACTGAAGCCAGGAGACTAGAACTCCATCTAGGTCTCCCATGTGGTTGGCAGGGGCCCAAGCACTTGTGCCATCCTCTGCTGCTTTCCCAGGCACATTGGTAGGGAGCTGGATTGGGTGTGGAACAGCTGGGACTTGAACTGGAGCTCATGTGGGAGGCTGGTGTCCCAGGTGGCAGCTTAACCCCTGCACTACAATGCCAGCCCCTAGTTTACCAAATGTTACAATGCTCTCTCTTTTGCTGAGTTTGCTCAATGTTAAAGTATGTCAGAACTTGCTTGCTGAGATTTTCTGTCTCTATTTTCCTTCACTATTTTTATTTGAATCTTCTCTTTTTTTCCCTCTTTTTGAAAAAAAAAATTAAAAAGATTTATTTAAAAGGCAGAGAGAGACAGAGACAGGCAGACAAATTTGCCTCCACTGGTTCACTCCCCAGATGTCAAAATGGGCAGGGCTGCACCAGACCAAAGCCAGCAGCCAGGAGCTTCATCCAGGCCTCCCACAGGGGTGGCAGGAGTCCAAGCACCTGGGTCATCTTCTGCTGCTTTCCCAGGCACATTAACAGGGAGCTGGATGGGAAGTGGAGTAGCCAGAACATGAACTGGTGCCCATACGGGATGCCAGTGTCACAGGCGGCAGCTTTACCCTCTGTACCACAACACCAGACCCTCCATGTACTCCTTAGACCTCCTTTTTTTTTTTAAGCTTAAAATTATATATATTTTTTGAATCTTATTTTCGTATACATTAGAGAAACTACCTGTATTTGGGTCTGTTAATATACATGAAAAATCCTCCTGTGAGGAGGGATACATTTACAGAAATTACAAATTTCTGTTAATGCACAGAATGTAGGTATGTGACAATCAACTAACAATTGGTTAAGTCCTAGTTTTCCCTGCAGATTAAGTTTGCTAAGAGCTGGGGCAGGAGTTTGGCGTAGTGACTGGGACAGCACTTGGACCCCTGCATCCCATCTTGGAAAGCTCCTTGTTTATCTAAAGGTAAAAGTTTTACAGTCACGATTTTTACTGAGTAACAGAATTAGTAACATGAACCCACTTTGGATATTTATGCTGAATATTACCACTTCAAGATTGGTATTTTTGAAATAGGAAATGGAAAAATGTAGTGAAATTTTTTAAAATGTGTCATAGGTGACATTATCTATAGAAGATCAAAACCACGTGACCCTGTCCTTTGCCTGCTGTGCACTGAAGTCCTCTTTAGATTACAGAACTCTTTAATATTTCACAATTAGGTTAGAGAGGCTTACTTTAACAATACAGGTTGGATATTTCCAAAAGAAGGGGGTTCTGCCTGGCATCTAAAGTGAAAAATCTTTTTCACCAAATTTTAGGAAATTTCATGCAGATGTTCCTTAAAAAATTTAAAGTGCAATTTCCCCAATGTATTCCTTTATCCCATTTAAGGAATCGATTTTTAAAGTAAAGTTACCAAAAAGAGCACAGAATTATAATGGACCAGACTTGCACACCTTACCACCCAAATCCACTATATTAATGCAGACTTAATAGAGTCGCCTGATTTCATTTTAAGTTTGCTGTTCATTTATTCTACCTTATAAATGTTATTAGCCTTTTGTTTTGACATGATTTGCTATTTTGTTTTGTAGTAAAGTTTACTTCAAGGTTTAAAGTGGAAATGGTATCACTCTCAGTAATTCTTCAAATGCAAACAAAATAAAAATTCTCTAAGGCGTGGTAAACACTCTGTTCCAGGTATGCAAATGTTGTGTGAAACTTGACTCAGAGAGGCGGCCTCTAGAGAGGCTTTGAGAATTATGCTTCTAGAATTCAGTTAGCAATGTTAGCATCAGTCATCTGGGGTGACTTTAAGCATAGAAAGAATTTTAGAGTAGCAAAACCTCTGGTGATCTTCGAATAAAGTCATGGAGGCGGGCATTGTGTGGTTGTTAGTGAAGAAGCAGATGCCAACCCCATTGTATTTATGTTATTTGGAGACTGGCTGCGTGAACAGAATGAGGTTGACCACTCTAAGGCCTGCACCATGGACGTCCAGATAATTGGTCAAACAATACTGGGAATGTTTCTGTGAGAATGCTTTTGGATGACTTTCACATTTAAATCAGTGGACTTGAGTGAAGCAGGTTGGCCGTGTTGAGTGGCTTCATCCACTTAGTTGAAGGTCTGAATGGAACAAGAAGGCTGATTTTCTGGAGGACTGCCTTCAGCCTTCGTCAGCAACGTGGGCTCTTCCTGCCTGAGGGTCCTTGAACCGCAGCATCGGCTTTTCCCTGGATTTCCTGTTCTATCGGCCCTCTCTGCAGATTTTGGATTTAACACCCTCCATAATCATGTAAGTCAATCTTTGTAATAAGTCTTCTACTGGATCTTTTCCTCTGGAGAACTCTGACAACCACAGGCTTCATGCACTAAGAAGGGTCTCGGGGCCAACACCATGGAGCACTGTCACTTTGGCAAGGCTACCCCTCCAGATGGGAACAGGGCTTTGTAGTATAAATTTCTCCAAAGCATCAGTGATCAAGTAACTTCCCCTGTTCAGACTCCATGCTCATCAAATTTCCCAGGTAACTTAACAATGTAAAACTGTACTCAGTGTGCAATGTTGAGGAGCTGCCATTCAAACAATAGTGAAATTACCACAGTCTGTGTCAAATCTGGGACTCTGGTCTAGGTACCAGTTTGACTTGCCAAAGCAGCTTTCCTTGCATCTTTTTTTTTTTTTTTTTTTTTTTTTTTGACAGGCAGAGTGGATAGTGAGAGAGAGAGAGAGACAGAGAGAAAGGTCTTTCTTTGCCGTTGGTTCACCCTCCAATGGCCGCCACGGCTGGCACACTGCGGCCTGCGCACCGTGCTGATCCGAAGGCAGGAGCCAGGTGCTTCTCCTGGTCTCCCATGGGGTGCAGGGCCCAAGCACCTGGGCCATCCTCCACTGCACTCCCTGGCCACAGCAGAGAGCTGGCCTGGAAGAGGGGCAACCGGGAAAGAATCTGGCGCCCAACCGGGACTAGAACCCGGTGTGCCGGCGCCGCTAGGTGGAGGATTAGCCTAGTGAGCCGCGGCACCGGCCTCCTTGCATCATTTTGATAACACACCTTAGCATCTGAAAATGCAACAAAATGCTCACGCTTCCTTGCAAAATATTTATTTCCTTCAAATCTGGGAATAGGCTTTATAAATCACCATGATACCTGGTTTGCTTTTAGTTATCTGAACTAAGGAATGACTACAAAATGGTAGGGGGAATACAGTATCTTTGTACATACAACTTCCAAAACCGTAAAGCTCTAGGGCCGTTTGAGAAAGCTGTAGAGGTGAGGCACAAAGTAATCCTTGTAATGTCCATCGATGAAACCCTTCCCGCTGTTGTGTACAAACCAACAGGGCACGTCGGTTCCGAACACTACATCTGTCCTGTAGTCTTTCTGTAAGCCTCTGCAAGGAAAACGGTAGGTGTGGTGAGCATACACATCAAGGCGTGGCAAGCACGGCACATCTAGAAGCAAGGCACCCCTTTCCGTGGCTATCTTTGTTCCAATTCCACCACCATTTCTGCCTGCCCATCGTCTACCCCAGCTCCCCAGGTCCTGTGAAACATCAGAACCTGGGGCTGGGTGTTGGAGGCACAGAACTAAAAGTATGTCCTCAGATGATTCAAGCCACCCTTGTAGAGGTTGACCCTCATGGACTTTTCTGGCAAGGTGAAGAGCAGTAAATGAATTCGGAAGGTCAGAAGTCAGGAACAGAACTCCTGAGTGTTGTAGGCTAGCCTCATAAAATCATTGAAGAGTGAATCTGAGGTACCTCTTGCCTTCACCTTATGGGCAAGTTTTATTTGAGGGTGATGGCTGCAGGTTTGGAGCAAATTCACACCCCCTACTTGAAGGGCGAGGAAGCCAATAATTTGAAAGAGATCTGGCACACTGACTTTAATGAGCATTAAAAGTCAGTAAGTGCAACTCGATTTAATCTACGCATCATGAGATCTCAGGGTAGATGGAAATAAGGTTGGACATTTGCCTTTTGTCATTACAGTGGGGGAGATGCTCTTCTACCAGCTTCCTGTATTGTTACTGTTATTCATTGGTGCTCACCATTTCTGCTATAGAATGTGCTCACCGCACTCATTGGTAACCTACAGTTCTCTATCTAGTAAACTGATACCCATTGCATGGCATATACACTGAGAACACATGGTTTGAGTTCACAGATCTACTTTTGGGGTGACACTGTAATTTTATGATTAATTATTACTATAATGTTATGACTTAAGTATGTAGAAGCCAATGACATGTCTATATGCAAATAGATTCATTTCTAATTAAGCAAAATTGACTGCTTTGTTAAAACTGTGAAAAGACAAACATACTTTAATATGATATCTAATAAGGCATAGGTAAGACAACTGCAAAAGACTGGAAAAATTATATAGATTTATATAAGAATTTCACATTCAGAATCTTTGTGTCTAAGTTCTCATGTCAAAATCAAGCATATGGATATTATTTTTGTAAGAAAAGCTATACAAAAATACATTTGGTAGATCTGCTCCAAAAAAGAAGGCCTTACATAAAATATGCATTCGTCCTTGAGCTCTGTGGTTCATGGTTATTTTTATGATTCCTTCCTTTGGGGCCAACATTTTCTATTATCCAGTTTGTGGCCCGAGGGCTTCTAATGCATGCAGATGAGTAGAACAGATTATTTAAGGTTGGCATTATTTTTCTGATGCATATGTATGCACTGAGGGTGGACTATCTGAAATGTTCTTGTACAGATATTGAGTATGTGTCTGTTCCCGACAAAGTGTTTCATTTGACAGAGACAGTGCTTAACACAGCCTTTCCTGCTACTCCGTTTTGCTCTGAGTCCAGTCCTAACAGGGGCCTGTTGGATATTGTCTTGTCCATCCAAGGCCTACCTGGTGACAGTCAGTGTGTGTCCTTTCACCTCCATGCTTGCCTCTGGTTTCTTGGGGTCTCTTCCTGGTCTTCCATTGAAGATGCGTACGCTTGGCTCATGCATGAACTGGCCTAGTGAAACAGAATCCAGCCATTTATTTACAAGTAGTCCAAGGTTAAATAAAAAGAAGAGCTCATCACTGAATCCAAGCTACATTTTTTTTTTTTTTTTTTTTTGCATCTCCCTCCTGGATTTCTGAGGGAGCAACCTGTGCCCAGAAGAAAAAGGAAGGGCCAGGGAGGGCGGGGGCCTTCCTGAGATCAAATGCCCTTGTGGACTTTTTTTTGTATACCTGAGGTAGATCTGCTGGATCATCAGTAAACTGACCTCCCTGATGGCTTGGGATGAGACAAGCACCTGGGAACATAGCTCAAGTCATAGGAACAAGCTTTGTGTTGTCAGATGCTTGGGTTTGAACCCTTCTTCCAACGTAAGGAATGGTTGTCCAGGATGTTCTGCTTATCAGCAGAGAAATCCTACACCAGTTCACCTCTCTTCAGTTAGAAAAAAGTGGGGCCAGCGCTGTGGCGTAGCAGGTAAAGCTGCTGCCTGAAGTGTCAGCATCCCATATGAGCGCAAGTTCGAGTCCTGGCTCCTCCACTTCCAGTTCAGCTCTCTGATATGGCTTGGGAAAACAGCGGAAGGTAGCCCAAGTCCTTGGGCCCCTGCCCTTGCATGGGAGACCTAGAAGAAATTCCTGGCTCCTGGCTTCCGATTGGCTCAGCTTTGGCTGTTGCGGCCATCTGGGAAGTAAACCAGTGGTTGGAAGACTCTCTCTCTCTCTCTCTCCCTATCTCTCTCTTTATTTAATAAATAAATAAATAGGTAAATCTTAAAAAAAATATCTTCAGCATACAACTTAAAACGTATCTGGCCGGCGCCGTGGCACACTAGGCTAATCCTCCGCCTGTGGCGCTGGCACCCCGGGGTTCTAGTCCCGGTTGGGGCAACAGATTCTGTCCCAGTTGCTCCTCTTCCAGTCCAGCTCTCTGCTGTGGCCCAGGAGGGCAGTGGAGGATGGCCCAAGTGCTTGGGCCCTGCACCCACATGGGAGACCAGGAGGAAGCACCTGGCTCCTGGCTTCGGATCAGCGCAGTGTCTCTCTCTCTCTCTCTCTCTCTCACTGTCTAACTCTGCCTGTCAAAAAAAAAAAAAAATGTATCTGGCCCTTTTCTTACTTTGCCCAGCTTCGTGATGCTGACATCTGACCTTGGAAAGACCAGTGGTCCTGGCTATTGCATTATCAGTCAGATGTGCTGCTGCATTGGGTCTTCCAACCTCGAGTCCACATTCACCACTTTCCCAACTTCTCACTGCTGTCACGCAATGTTGCTAAAGACCTCTCAACTATGTGGTATTGTTTACACTGCTAATATCCACATGTAAAGCCATTACACAAATAAATGAGCAATATTAAAATTGCCAGATGGTTGAAAGACACTTTACCTATAAGTCCATGTGCGTTGGGAGAAAACTTGCTTGTGGGCGGAATGTAGATCCCCAGAAAGTCTACGTTAATGGGATGCTTCTTCCAAACACGGTGAAGTAAAACAGAAAAGGACAGCTCTTTATTGAGAGTGACAGTCACAGTTTTTTCTTTCTTCACTGAGACAAGCACCCTATTGTGAAAGTCAATGGGATTAAACATTACATGAGTTCCAGAACACACTTTTTTAGAAAGTCACTCTCTTTGTCCCTAAGAATGAGCTCTCCACTCTTCCCAGCTTAATTCCACTCATTTTCTAAGCGCCTTATTGTATTTTTTTGCTGTGCTGTTTTAGCTCCCTGATCTGAGTCTACCATTTATGTGTTTGCAAACAATCAATGTACAGACCCTATTTGAGAAGATACTATGCTTAAGGCATGATTGGAATGCACTCCCTGATGTGACATAGGCTGTGGATTTTAGTTGATGGACTTAGTCATTGACACAACACGTACCTAACGAGTACTGAGTGTCACGCACTAGGCCAGTCACTGAAACAAACGTACAGGGACCCAAAGGTGTAGTTCCTACAGCTAAGAGCAGGGTCATGGGTAGAAACCGTTTTCCTGAACCTTGGCTTCCTGACATTTAAAATGATGATTTTTAAGTTCTGTGTTGTTGAGGATGTCAGGATGTATTCTTACAGTCGTGTAAGGACAAGTAAGTCAAGGACAGGCTGGGATTCTCACGGAGTAACACTTGCCTCTGATACGCCACGTGGGCTGTGTCAAACCAGGACAGGATGGATGTATGAGAGCCGCGGCTCAGGGTGATGGTCTCGGTGGTGATTTCTATTTTCGTGTCTTCACTTCGTATATAAAATCCCAGTGTTCCAAAATACGTATGTAGTTTTCCTTTCTGGGGCTTCTTGGCACCGATAAGCTGGCCGTTGACTGAAACCCCTACCAAAAAAATAAAAATATTTTTCTCTCTTGGGTGTCATTTTTTGGTATGGGTGGACACAGTGATTCAAATATCTAAAACTTGATAAAATGAGAATGATTATGATTTTGCTTCAGAATATACACACTTTTTAATAACTGTCACAGCTGATGTATTTTGTTATGGTTTAGGTTAATTATATCACAATGAGATCAGTTCATACTCAGGGTATGTGTTTTGAACTATAATTATTCAAAATATTTAGGAATACACTTATGATTAATTTATCACTAATTATGAGAGTTTGAAAAATGCAGAATCCTATTAAGGTGAGAAAGAAAGAAATCTCAGTGAGGGGAGGCGTCACAGTTATCTAACGATCGGAGTCACCTGTAATTTACCTGATTCCGGATCAGAAACCAGGTTGAGGATTTTTCCAGGTTCTGAGTCAATATTGAAGCAGATGTTCTCTTGACTTTTTGGCAGGTAAATGATGAAATGTGGGTCATTTTCAACTGGAAATATACAAGGAAAAGGAAAACAAAGAAAATCAGAAGAAAGGAGCTTGCTAACAGTATTTTATCACTAAATACCTTTCATTTACTCAGAACAAATATTTATTGTGTTTTACTTTATGTTAGGTGGTGTTAGGGACCAGTGGTTCATATTCCAGTCTCTTCATCACAGAGCCTCCTCCAGAGCTTTATGTTATTCTACAAAGACAATGAATATTCATCCTGTAGCTATCACATATGTAGTAGGCTAGATGCTAGAGACGCTAGAGATAAAAAATGAATACAAACCAAAAAATAAAAAACACACACAGCTATATAAGGAAATACACACATGGATGTGTATCTAAGCAGAGGTAAGGGAAGTTGCCAAAGAAAAGTAAAAAAAATATTATTATTGTTGGCATACAGACCAATATTAATCAATTCCAAGGGCAGCCAAGAATCAGGCTAAGGCCAAGGAACTGCTGCTTTGTTTTTTGGACATCTTTATCCTGCGGGATCATTCCTAGTCCCTCCCCCTGCCCAACATCCTCTCCCAATTAACCATTTAACAGATATTTGGTGAGGGGATAAAAACCTTGTGCAAAACACCATCTTAGGCAATGTTTGGTGCAGGTATAAAGGAAGTCATGATCTGCACAGTCAAAAGGGCCAACACAACCACTAATGTAAGGTTGAATGACGTCAATGGTGCAATAATGACCCAAGTGAAATGTTGTGAGATTGAGGAGAGTTGGCTAGCTTCCCTCTTGGGCAAACGCAGCAAGGCTGTGTGAGGGGTTTGGCTTTGAACTAAGTCTTGAAAGTAGGAGAAGAAAGACAAAAGATTAAAGATTGTATTCTATGTAGACAGAACAAGAACAGTATGGAGGCAGAACACTGGATAGTTTGTTTAGAAAGTAAATGCAGGGGCCGGCACTATGGCACAGCAGGTTAATGCCCTGGCCTGAAGCACTGGCATCCCATATGGGCGCCGGGTTCGAGAGCCGGCTTCTCCACTTCCGATCCAGCTCCCTGCTATGGCCTGGGAAAGCAGCGGAAGATGGCCCAAATCCTTGGGCCCCTGCAACCCACATGGGAGACCTGGAAGAAGCTCCTGGCTCCTGGCTTCGGATCGGCACAGCTCTGGCCGTTGCGGCCAATTGGGGAGTGAACCAGCAGATGGAAGACCTCTCTCTCTCTGCCTCTCCTCTCTCTCTGTAACTCTCACTTCCAAATAAATAAATAAATCTTAAAAAAAAAAAAAAAAGGAAAGTAAAGTAAATGCAGCCAGAGGACAGATTCGTGAAGAAAGTAGAAAAAGACTAAAACTGTGGATTGTATCCAGGGGAGATGCGGTGGGAGAGAGGAGGAGTGATTGTGCAAAGGTTACCACTAATGAAATAGAGAAGTCACTTTTGGCCCACAAATAATAACTGTAGAGCTCAGCCCTAGAATTGAGATGAAGCGACATAGAATAACTCTTCCAGTTCTGACTAAGGTTTCTATTACAGTGTTGGGTGCGTGGTGGATGCACTGTTGAGAAATCAGTTCTGAGAACTGCATGACAGAGGAATCTATATTCCAGCAGCCTGGAGTGCAGCACGTTTCTAGGAATGGCACGAGAGCTACTTTTCTATTTACATTTCAAAAACTCAAGTGCAGCTCAGCTTCTGACCTTTCTAAAGGAGGAGGGACATGCTCTCTCTTTGTTGAAACTGACTCCATTCCAATAACAAGAAGGGAGAGGTAAGTGTGCATAGGGGGTGTGTGTGTGTGTGTGTGTGTGTGTGTGTTTCCTCCACAGGGCTAGCCAATTGCCAGGCAGCTGTGATCTCTGGATGAAGGCAGTACCGGAGGAGCTGGGGCATGGATGGATGCTGTCTCTCCCACTTACGTGGCTCCTCTGTCTCATTGCTTGACAGAAAAGAGGCCAGTGAGATTGACAAGAGGAGGGCAAAGCAACCTACAACTAACTGCACAGGAAAGCCGAGGAGGCAAAACTCACACAAAGAAATACATTGCACTTGGGGTGGGCATTGTGGCATAGTGTGGTAGGTAGGGGGCTTGGGGTGCCCACATCCCATAGGAGTGCCTGGTTCAAGTCCTGATTTCTCTGTTCCAGTTCAGATTGCCTGCTAGTGCATACCCCTGGGAGGTAGCAGGTGAGGCTCAGGTGGGCACTGGGGGAGTGAACCAGTAGATGGCAGATTGTTCTGTCTCTCTGATTCTCTGCTTTTAAAATAAAAATGGAAATAAATAAATATTTGAAAAAGAAGAACACATTTCAGTGAATTTGAGGTGATACATCTACTACCCCTACTTCCCACTGAAACCATTTGTAGACAGATTGTGACGGAGCAAAACTAGGATTTTTATATGGCAGCAATAGAAAAAAAAAACCTGCAAAATAACATGCTCATATAGGAAATGATTGTAATGCATTTTGATCTTAAAATGTGTAGCTCCTCATCTTTAATAATAGCTCCATTTTTTAGCAACTATTATTTGCCAGCTCTTTAGATACGGTTTTGCATTTCATTGGCGATTAGCTATCAATATGTGTATAAATAGGATTATGCCTAGTTTCAGTATGAAGGAAGTGAGAACAGAAACTTTAAGGAACTTCAAAGAATGTTCTTTCCACTGCTACCCCATTGACCCCACTTCTCCATTTCAGAGGATTTCTCTCATACAGCTGGAAATGCATACTATAACCCGAGCTGCCCATCCCTCAAAACTCATACGCTGAGGCCCTGGCTCTCTGCATGTTGGTGTTTGGAGGTGGGGCCCTTGGGGAGTCCTTTAGTTTAGATGTGGTTGGTCATGAGAATGAGGCTGTCATGATAAATTAGGGCCCTCTCTCCTTCTTCCACTCTCTTTCTCCATGAGCACGTCAAAAGAAGAGGCCGCTTGCTCGTCCAGGGAGGTGGCAGCTGCCTGCAAGTCAAGCCGGGAGGCCTCAGAATGAGTCATACTGGGCTCAGACTTGATCTTGGATTTCCAGCCTCCAGAGCAGTGAGACAGAAACGCTCGGTTTTCAAGCCCAACCCCCGACTCCTGCTCCAAGTCTGTGGCGCTCTGGTATGGCAGCTCCAGCAGGCTAATGCATGGAGCTTTCTTCTCTCACTGGAAGGCAGTGATGCTTGTTAAAAATCACCTGTTGGGGCCAGCACTGTGGCACAGCAGGTTAAAGCCCTGGCCTGAAGTGCCGGCGCCTCATATGGGCGCCGGTTTGAGACCCGGCTGCTCCTCTTCTGATGCAGCTCTCTGCTATGGCCTGGGAAAGCAGTAGAAGATGGCACAAGTCCTTGGGCCCCTGCACCCATGTGGGAGACCTGGAGGAGGCTCCTGGCTCCTGGCTTCAGATCGGCGCAGCTCTGGCCGTTGCGGCCATCTGGGGAGTGAACCAGTGGATGGAAGACCTCTCTCTCTGTCTCTACCTCTCTCTCTAACTCTGTCTTTCAAATAAATAAAATAAATCTAAAAAAAAAAAAAAAAGTCACCTGTTTTCCCAGTACACACTTATATTTTCCTAATGCACTTAAATGCTGCCCAGGATTCTGATTGGTGTAGGAGGCAGAAGCTGCACTGGATTTTTTTTTTTTTTTACCTCTCATCACATGTGGAGGGGGCGTGGACTCCAGCACGGGAGCTCCGGCCAAACGCATGGGGACTACTGGTGTCGGGGCAGCGTTGGCCCAAGAAGGGATCCCATTCGAAGGAACTTTTTCACCGTAATACAGGGCACCTGTGTAGAAACACCCGCATCCGTTAGTTTCCAGGTTTACTTTTCCCAGGAAGTTGGTCAGAATCGCAAGAATCTGTTGCATGCAGCCTCCAGTTCTCAAGCAAGGTTTCCTCCTCCTGTTTTTACCTAAGTGAGGGTCTACAGGGGAGGGACCCCTCTGCAGAGCTGGGCCAGGGCCTTATGCCGACAACACTGGCCAGGGTGACAACGTCCAGCAGTGGTCCTAGATCCCTGGAGACAGCTTCCTGGAACTCAGCACACAACCACGGCAGTTCAGTTGCCCAAAGAGGTCCTTGCTGGTGAGAGATTTTATGCTGCCTTCCCACAAAAGGTTTGTTGCTCAGTCTGCCTGTCCTTTACAAAAAATGCTTCAGCTTATTGCAATTGGGATGTCAGAAGTCAGAGTTCCAGGGCTGGTGCTGTGGTGCTGTGGTGCTGTGGCGTAGCAGGTAAAGCTGCCTCCTGCAGTGCTGGCATCCCTTATGGGTGCTGATTCAAGTCCTGGCTGCTCCACTTCCAATCTAGCTCCCTGCTGTTGACCTAGGAAAAGCAGCCAAAGATGGCCCAAGTGCTTGGGCTCCCCGCACCTACGTGGGAGACCCGGAAGAAGTTCCTGGCTCCTGGCTTTGGATCAATTGGTTCAGCTGCAGCCATTGGAGATATTTGGGGAGTGAACCAGTGGATGGAAGACCTCTCCCTCTCTCTCTCTCTCTCTCTCTCTCTCTGTAACTCTGCCTCTCAAATAAATAAATAAATCCATAAATCCTTAAAAAAAAAGCTGATCTAGATGAAAATTTTGACACTTAGAGACTTATGATCATAATTTTAAATTTGTTTAAATTTTAAAAATGTTTAAATTAAAATTTGTAAATATATCTTTCCAGCAGAGAAATAGGGTGATCAATAAAAAACTTTCATATGTAAAAATATATTAATTTGTTGTATAGTTCTTTCAGGAAAATGGAATGGAAATACAAGTTCAACTAGAAAAAGAAAAACAATATGACATTTCCAATAATTAAAATAGAGTTTTTTGGGGCTGGTGCTGTGGCATAGCAGGTAAAGCCACCGCCTGCAGTGCCAGCATCCCACATGGGCACTGGTTCAAGTCCCGGCTGCTCCACTTCCGATCTAGCTCTCTGCTATGGCCTGGGAAAGCAGTAGAAGATGGCCCAAGTCCTTGGGCCCCTGCACCTGCATGGGAGACCCAGAAGCTCCTGGCTCCCGGCTTCAGATTGCGCAGCTGCAGCCGTTGCTGCCAGTTGGGGACTGGACCAGTGGATGGAAGACCTCTCTCTCTTTCTCTCTGCCTTTTCTTCTCTCTCTGTAATTCTGACTTTCAAATAAATAAATAAATCTTTTAAAAAATAGAATTTTTTGTTAGCAGGTGCTGGCGAATACCAAACTCTGCATTCTATTTCACTTGATATAATTAAAACCTGATGTAACTGCTTATTTTAAAAGATCAATATTTACAGTGTACCAGAAATACATTTGTTGCAACTGTTTAAACAAGATGAAAAATTTTAACTGTTGGTTTCAAAAAATGAGTGTAGAGAAGACTGGTATTTGGTGTAGAGATTAAGACAGTGCTTGGAACAGCCATATCCCATGTTGGAGTGCCTGGTTTGAGTTCTAGCTCCATTCCTGTTTCCAGCTTCCTAACAGTGAGCATCATGGGAGGTAGCAGGTAAGTACTCAAGTACTTGGTCCCATTACCCATGTAGGAAACCTGGATGGTGTTCCCAGCTCCTGGCTTTGACCTGCCCATTCCCAGTTTTTATAGACATTGGTGGACTCAACCAACAGATGGGAGCTCTCTGTCTCTCTGCATCCCAATTTTTTTTGTCTCTCTCTTTCTTCTTTCTTTCTTTCTCTCTCTCTCTCTCTCTCTCTCTCGCTATAAAACACAGACCTGCACAGCAAGAATGGTCCTGTGGAGGGGAATCGGCCAGCATGCGCTCATCCCCGGCATCGTTCTCAATCACCATCGAGGTGAGTGGGGTCACAATATGATGTTCCAGAGACATCTGCAGGATTGTTTTTGTAATTCTCCTCTTGGTAGCAGCTGTAGGAGCCAGGCTTCTGTGTTCAGGAAATAGAGGCATTAAAGAATGTCACCATTTGTAAAGGTGGACTCAAATCCCACAATCCTCCCCCCGTCTCCCAACTCCTGTTGTCCACCTGGGCAGGATGAGGGACATGAGGTAAGAGCAAAACACCCTGGCTTCCTGAAGCTTAGTCTTTTATCTAGCTATGCAGCCCCAAGCGTTGTTGCTGTTTTTAGAAGTCTTTATTGTTTTTTAGGGCGGTTTGAAGTTCACCACTAAATTGAGCACTAGACACCGAGAGATTTTTCCATACTGCCCCGGGTCCCACAGAGATATAGCCTCCTCCACTATTGCCATCCTATACCACAGTGGGACTTCTGCTACAATCGCTAACACATAATCACCCAAAATCCATAGCTCATGTTAGGACTCCCTATTCATGCTGTGTGGTCTATGCTTTGGATAAGTTCATTATGACCTGCACCCACCATCGTAGTTCTAGAGAGAATAGTGTCACTGCCCCAGAAATCCTCCTGGCTGCATCTCTTCATCTCCATCTCACCCTCACAACCCTCCAGCAACCACTGATTTTTTTTTTTGATCTGAACTATTTTTTAAAAAAAAACAATATTGAACTGCAGCAATTTACTCTATGCATTTAAATACATCCAGTGCGCTTCTGTCAAAGGGCAGAGAGTTTCCTCAGTTACTTGAAAGTCACAGCTCAGTTTTGCGTCTTTTTTTTTTTTTATATAATCTTATCCACATTAGGGATTTCCTCTGTGAGTCCAAGTACACGATCATATTTCATCTTCCCAACCTAGTTCAGATGACCTTGTTCTGTCTCCTGAGATTCTGATCTACAAGGTGGAACAGGGCTCTGCAATAGTGACTTTTGTCCAACAGTCCCACAGAGTTCTGATGCAGGTGCTCTAGGGAGATGAGTTTATTATATCTGGAAAGTCCAGATATAATTTGGCGGAGAAGACGGAGGTGACACGCACAAGCATTAGGAAGCCTTGCTTTGGGTGATATCACAATTGCATAATCATAACATTTCTCTCTGGACAATAACCTGTACTTGAGAGAAAATGCAAATTGACTGCTGGTATACACAAGAACATGAATGAAAGCTCACAGGCATTCTACTGAATGAAAGAAGCCAGGAAAAAAAAATTGCATGAGCTTTTTTTTTTTTTTTCTTTTGTAGGCAAAACTCATTGATGGTAACAGATGTGGAATAGTGGTTTCCACTGGAGGGTGGGGGATGCATGTTGAGAGGGAAGGAGAACAAGGGAACACCCAGTATTTTTACATCTGGATCAGGGCGGTGGTTACATGGGTGACATACACAAAATCTCATGAAATTGTACACATGTGTATACTTCACACATGTATTTTGTACCTCAGTTACAACAGAGTGAACCCAGGGTCAGCGTTGTGGCATAATGGACAAAGCCACTGCCCACAGTGCCAGCATCCCATATGGGTGCCGGTTCGAGTCCTGGCTGTTCCACTTCCAATCCAGCTCTCTGTTACTGGCCTAGGGAAGCAGTAGAAGATGGCCCAAGCCCTCGGGCCCCTGCACCAATGTGGGAGACCCTCAAGAAGCTCCTAGCTCCTGGCTTCTGAATAGCCCAGCTCCAGCCATTGCAGTCATTTGGGGAGTGAACCAGCAGATGGAAGACCTCTCTCTTTCTCTTTCTCTTTCTCTTTCTCTTTCTCTTTCTCTTTCTCTTTCTCTTTCTCTTTCTCTTTCTCTTTCTCTTTCTCTTTCTTTCTCTTTCTCTTTCTCTTTCTCTTTCTCTTTCTCTTTCTCTTTCTCTCTCTCTCTCTCTCTCTCTCTCTGTACTCTGCCTTTAAGATAAATAAATAAATCTTAAAAAAGACTGAACCCAGCTTTATTTGAAGTGCTAGCATCAGTGGAAGTTAATAATACAAATCCTGTATTGTTAATTTGCTGTCTTTCTTCATTCTGAACTCCTTCTGTGTCTGACTTCAAATACTCAGAGTGAACAATTCAGTCTTACAGATTGGTGTAAGTCTTACTGGTGATGTGCACACTCTTCTTACCGCTCAGCTAACAGCTGGTTGATTGTTAGGTAGGCCCATAATTTCTTGGTGAAATCAGGATCTGCATGCTTGTCTTTGGATAGAAATTCCTCCAAGTCATCCATCTGGGCCAGGGTTTCCAAGACTAACTCTGTGTTTGCCTGGACAATGGAAGGATCAGTTAAAATTCACCAGGGGGGAGCAGAAGTATAGCTAATCAGTTCACATTTCTAGAGCCTGCTTTGAGCAAGCAAGAGAGGTATGCACTTTAAAGGAACACACACACACACACACAAATGGAGGTGGGGATTAGGGCTGGGTGAAAGGTAAGGATTTCTGGAATAGTTAGGAGGAAAGCAGAGATATCCCCATGCCTTTTATTTCATGATTAATTCTCTGGGAATGCAGAATATTAACCTGCTAACATAGAAGACAGACTGTATGCAGGGAGAACACTTAGCATTTTCAGAATAAATCAACAAGCAGAAGTACCGAAGTTGCCGTGATAATGCTTTGTATTTGCTTCAACTTGTCAGGGTCAAATTTCCCTGCCACCACGATCTCTGAACCTCCAAAGTAATTGTGGAAACTGTTTTGAGTGACGTCTGTTACTGATGTATGAGGATAGTTGAACTGAACATTCCGGAGCAATGGAGTAGAGACTTGGTTGTAGAATTTCTACAATTCATGAGAGAGACAGAGAGAGAGAGAGAGAGAGAGAGAGAGAGAGAGAGAGAGAAATCATTATTGATTTGTAGGTCTAAAGCATTTTTTTTTTCTGAGATTCTTCATATGTTTAGCAGATATCTCAAAGTTTATTGCCATGAGATCTCTGGGACAAGGAAAAATACTCATTTATGTTAGATGAAAAAAGTGAGACGTGGAGAATAAAACACTTAATATTGCCTGATTTAAGAGCCCAGAATTTTTTCCCCTTTCTCTTATGATCAGTATGAAAAACTCATGAGTGTTCATGATAATAAAAGTCAGCTGGGTTGGTGGTCTGCATATTAGAATCTTTTTTTTTTTTTTTTTCTCTGTGGTTTTTTTTTTTATTTTTTTTTTATTTTTGACAGGCAGAGTGGACAGTGAGATAGAGAGACAGAGAGAGAAAGGTCTTCCTTTTGCCGTTGGTTCACCCTCCAATGGCCGCCGCTGCAGCCGGCGCACCGCGCTGATCCGATGGCAGGAGCCAGGAGCCAGGTGCTTTTCCTGGTCTCCCATGGGGTGCAGGGCCCAAGCACCTGGGCCATCCTCCACTGCACTCCCTGGCCATAGCAGAGAGCTGGCCTGGAAGAGGGGCAACCGGGACAGAATCTGGCGCCCTGACCGGGACTAGAACCCGGTGTGCCGGCGCCGCAAGGTGGAGGATTAGCCTATTGAGCCACGGCGCCGGCCCAGAATCTTTTTTTTTAACTTTTATTTAATGAATATAAATTTCTAAAGTACAGCTTATGGATTACTATGGCTTCCCACCCCCATAACGTCCCTCCCACCCGCAACCCTCCCCTTTCCCACTCCCTCTCCCCTTCCATTCACATCAAGATTCATTTTCAATTATCTTTATATACAGAAGATAAATTTAGCATATATTAAGTAAAGCTTTCAACAGGCACCCACACGGAATCACAAAGTGAAAAATACTGTTTGAGTCCTAGTTATAGCATTAAATCACGACGTACAGCACATTAAAGACAGAGATCCTACATGGGGAGTAAGTACACAGTGACTCCTGTTGTTGACTTAACAAATTGACACTCTTGTTTGTGGTGTCAGTAATCACCCTAGGCTCTTGTCATGAGTCGCTAAGGCTATGGAAGCCTTTTGAGTACGCCGACTCTGATCATATTTAGACAAGGTCATAGTCAAAGTGGAAGTTCTCTCCTCCCTTCAGAGAAAGGTACCTCCTTCTTTGATGACCTGTTCTTTCCACTGGGATCTCACTCGCGGAGATCTTTCATTTAGGTCTTTTTTTTTTTTTTTTTTTATTTCCCAAGAGTGTCTTGGCTTTCCATGCCTGAAATACTGTCATGGGCTTTTCAGCCGGATCCGAATGCCTTAAGAGCTGATTCTGAGGTCAGAGTGCTGTTAGAATCTTAGCCCTTCCTGGTTGCCAAGTTTAAATATGGTGCTGGTGCCAATAGAGGGCAGGAAGCCGGCACCGCGGCTCACTAGGCTAATCCTCTGCCTTGCGGCGCCAGCACACCGGGTTCTAGTCCCGATTGGGGCGCTGGATTCTGTCCCGGTTGCCCCTCTTCCAGGCCAGCTCTCTGCTGTGGCCAGGGAGTGCAGTGGAGGATGGCCCAAGTCCTTGGGCCCTGCACCCCATGGGAGACCAGGAGAAGTACCTGGCTCCTGCCATCAGATCAGCGCGGTGCGCCGGCCGCGGCACACCGGCCAAGATGGCCATTGAAGGTTGAACCAATGGCAAAGGAAGACCTTTCTGTTTGTCTCTCTCTCTCACTGTCCACTCTGCCTGTCAAAATAAATAAATAAATAAATAAAATAAATATATGAAAAAATAGAGGGCAGGGAAAGTATGTTGTTTTCCTATCCTGTATTCCTGTCCATTTCATTAAAATAAACAGGAATTTTTTTATCTTATATTTAAGGAAGTGTGTAGGCCACAGGATGAACTGTTTTACATGATAAAGAAATTGATGTCCTAGATGCCCACGCACTTCAAAGGGGAAACAGGTGGGCGAGGTGGTAAAGAACACCAGTTTCTCAGTGGGACTCACGGGCACAGAAGCTTTGATGGTGCTGCAGCAGACCTTGTTGAATGGGTGGGGAAGTGCATCCTCATCGCTCAACTACCTCACATCTCACTGTTTGTGCAGAAAAACATTATAGCAGAGGGTAATGGGCAAGAAAGGGATCCAATGCTCCCTTGATCCTTGTGACAGAACATGACTGAAATAATGTCAATTTTGAGTTAAATTTGTCCATACTTTTCAGACACCAAATACATGTAGTTAGATGATTTTGAGTGAATTTTAAAAAAAAGAGCAGAAGAAAAAGTTACCTTGAGCTGGGAAGATGTGTCCTGGTTTCCATAAATCCTTTGAGCAATTCCACGGTTTTCATTGGAAAGTCTCTTCAAAAAGTCATAATCAACATCAAATCCTATGCCCAGACTGAACAAAGATACATTGTCTTGTATGTTCTGCTTCACATTTTTCTGAATTTTTGACAATTTTAGTTCACCTGAAATTGATGATGACAGATAGAAAAGGAATGAATTGTTTTTGAAAAATCCAGGGAGGACAGTTAAGCAAAATTTGTCAAAATTAAAAATGCACTTACTATTAGATTCAGTAATTCAACTCCTACAAATTTTTCTTGCAGACACACTCATACATGTTGAAAATGAAGTGTAGGCAGTGGTGCATAGCAACACAATTTGGGAATAGCAGTGTTCACCAATAAGGAAGGTTGGCAAAATTGTTATATTATACATAGAGAGATACTATGCCATTATTAAAAAGAACATAGTGTCTCTTCATGCATTTATAGCAAATATTCTCAAAAACACATTTTTCCCATAGGAAAATAGATAAATATTGGTGTATGTGGGATGCATTTGTATACATATATGCAAATATGCATGCATGTATATGTGTACATAGATATAGATATGTGTGCAAATATGCATATATTTTGTATATACAAATAGGATATTCATACATGGAATCAGTGACTGACTCCAAGACAGGAACAAGGCAGATGGGGGACAGAAGTAAGAAACAGATTTAATTGTTTTTGCCAATTTTTCCTTTGTTCCTTCTGATTTTACTCAAAATTTGAATTGTAAAAGTAAACTGATCTGAAGGAGGAAAACACTGAATCTGTGATAAGTACATGATAACTTCTATTCTAGTCTCACTGTTAATGAAATGATTTTCTCATTGTCTTTCTCAAAGACAATGCCATTATTACTGTCACATCCGATTTCGTCCTGTTTAGCCAAGTCAGGCATGGGTTGGATACAGTGCTGGCCTACCTGACAACACACTCAGGCAACATAACCTAGCATACATCGTTACTTACATTTATCAGTGTAAAGACACCATGCACACAAGAATAAAAGAGTAGAGTAGGGAGATAGACACCATTTTGTGGAGAAGAAAAATGATTTGGTTAGATGGTATCTGAGAGTTGTCACTTCTCTAGCTGCAGCTGGGGGCAAGGTGGAGAATAAGAGATAAGACACTACTGCGGCCTCCAGAGGTACTACTGGGAGAAATACCCATCATTCACAACCCCCGAACCTTCATACACCTCCCATTGAGGAAATCAGCGTATTTCACAAATGCACACCAGCAATCCTCACATGCCAGTACACCTCAAACTTCAATGTCTTCATACTGTGAGGTGAAACGGAGGCAGTGAAGAGCATCTCCAGGGGCCGATGTTGTGGCATAGTAGGCTAATTGCCACCTGGATGCCGGCATCCCCTATGGGTGCTGGTTCGAGTCCTGGCTGCTCCACTTCCAATCCAGCTTCCCATTAGTGGTCTGGGAAAAAAGTTCAAGATGGCCCAAGCACTTGGGTCCCTGCACCTTCTTGGGAGACCTGGAAGAAGCCTTGGCTGTTGTGGCCACTTGGGTAGTGAATCAACATATGGAAGATCTCTCTCTCTGTAATTCTAACTTTTAAATAAATATTTTTTTTAAAAGGAGCAGTTCTAAAGGTATCTGAGGATTGGGGAGGGAGGCTAGTACTTCAGGGTCAGAAGTCTTTTAGGAAGCATAGGCGTAAAATGTTACAGAAACTTGGGCAGATGCCATTGGAGTTCCCATTTTAAGCAAAGGCCATTTGTAAGACACAACATTGAAAATGTTCGTCTAGAGAACATGGAAGCAATACTTGCCCACGGTTGGATCTCCATCCGAAACTAAAATGATCAGAGAGACAGAGTTGGGATCCAGTAGTCCCATGTTATTGGCTTCATTCAAAATAAAGATGGCCCGCAGGAGTGCTTCGTTGATGTTTGTGCCTGTTGAAGGAATACAGTGTGTGGTTGCATATGCTTTCTTTCTGTACACACAAACATCGCATCTTGGAATCAGATTCATCTGTCTGGTGGAAACTTATGTATAATTTATTCAATATAAAAGTATTTGAGGGACAGGCATTTGGTGCAGTGGTTAAGCTGCTGTTTGCGACGTACACACCCCGTATCAGAGTGCCTGCGCTCGGGTCTCAGCTCCTCTCTCCACTCCAGCTTCCTGTTAATGTGCACCCTAGGAGCCATCATGTAATGTCTCAAGAGCCTGGGTCCTTGCGTCCCTTGGGGGAAATCTGAATTGAATTCCTGGACCCTGGTTTTATCTTGGTCCAGTTTCAGCTCTTTCAGACATTTGGGGGAGTGAACCTGAGGATGGGAGATCTCTGTCATTCTCTTAAATTTTTTTTTAATTAAAAAATCTTTGTTTGTTTTCCTGGTGACATAAATTTTGCTCATCCTGGTCAAGATCTTCCTGTGCAGTAAAAATATTCACTGTGCATAAACTAGGTAAACTAGCCTTTTAGACATGAATCAGCCCTCTTAAAGCAGCAGCTATTTGTTTTGTTAAACACCCGACTTAAAGGTCCTCAATCAACTTTGCTGAGATACTCTGAAGACAGTTACATTTTGTGCTATGCAGATGATAAGGAAGGGAGTGTCATTTACTGAACTTTTCTGTAAAAGGTTGGAGTGGTAAAAACAAGTATGGTCTGAATTACATATACTTTCACTACCAACTTAGCATTCATCATTTGCCGGTAAGTGTATTATTTAAGATAGACCATTGCAGGCTGGGCAAAGGCCCCTGTGGTAGAGAGTAATCTTTCTTAAGGATGCTTCCTTAAGTGGACCAAGATTTGAACTGTATAGAAGTTTCTCATTGGGCTTTAGGCCAATACCACTCACCTCCGTTGGGCTGGATTTTCTCAATGTACCTTTTGGCATCTGCAATCTGTGTTTTAGTGGCTGAAACTAAGTCATTTCTCCAGGTTCGGATGTTGTGGTTGAAGTCAACCACAGAGAAATGGTCTTCTGCTCTTAAGTCATCCAAAATGGTCTTCATTGCTTCCACAGTCTATTTCAAAAGAGAGTGAAGGGGAGAGGGGTCTCATTACATAAACTCTAAGCTTACAACGAAACTAGCAAGACTGATCATTGATCCTCATCATCTTACAAACACTGACTCAACATATACTTCCTCTGGAAAATGCCTTAGACCCTCCCTTATGTGTTCTGGACATGTATCGTTGGCTTCTTTGGACTTAAGCTTTTACTGTATATTATGTTATGCACAAGAGGCTTGTCTGGTCTTAGTTAAAGTTAAGAATCACAAACTTCAGGAGCTTACTTGGTGGTGCCTGAAAATCAAATATATCTCTAAAGTCTCTCTATTCACCCGCTCTTTAAATTCTTTCTCATCTTCTTTCTTTTTAAACCATCAAAATCTCCCACCTCAGGTATCTCAACTGATGATCTCCATAGAGAAACCAAAGGAATCAGAAGAAAATTTCCTCTGACTCCCACCACCATAAACTTCCAGCTGCCAATGTTTGTCCTTGTATAGTTTTCCTTCCAGCCTAGTAATACAGAGAAACCAGCAATATTTTTACCAAATGTAAAACCATGCACTGTGAACTAGATTCCATCCCCTCTCATCTACTGAAGAATATGGCTCTAGCAATTCTTTTTGCCTCTTTTTTCCTTTGTTCCTTCTGATTTTACTCAAAATTTGAATTTTAAAAGTAAACCGATCTGAAAGAGGAAATGAAGGGTGCATTTCCATAAATATAACTAATACTGTTATTTCTCACCCCTTTAAAAATCGTATTTATACCACTCTCTCCATTTCTGAGCTTCCCTTTGCAGTAAGATTCCTTGAAAGAATTGTCTGATCACACTGTCTCCAGATTTTCTCTTTCTGTTTCTCTTAAAGCCACTCCATTCAGGTTTTCATTTTTATAACTACTTTATAACTGCCTTTGTCAAGGTCACCAGTGACCTTGACATAAAATCTAATGCACTGTTTTCATTTCTCGTGAAACTCAGTCCACAACCAGCATTTGAACTAATCATTTGCATCTTCTCTGCCTCATTTGTCTTCAAGGGGTTCTTCTCCTCCTCTTATGAGTTGCTTTGTACTATTTCTGTTGATTTTTCTTCTTCTCTATAAATTTTTTAGAAGATTTATTTTGGTGCCAGCACCATTGCCACCCAGGGTCTGCATTAGCAGGAAGCTGGAGTCAGGAGCAGAACCTGGTATCAAAGCCTGATACCTGATATGGGGCATAAGTCCTCCTTTTCTTTTCTTTTTTTTTAAAGATTTATTTGAAAGTCAGAGTTACATAGAGGGAGGAGAGGCAGAGAGAGAGAGAGAGAGAGAGAGAGAGAGGTCTTCCATCCGATGGTTCACTCCCCAGATGGCCCCAATGGCCGGAGCTGTGCCGATCCGAAGCCAGGAGCCAGGAGCCTCTTCTGGGTCTTCCACACAGGTGCAGGGGCCCAAGGACTTGGGCCATCTTCTACTGATTTCCCAGGCCGTAGCAGAGAGCAGCCAGGTCTTGAACCGGTGTCCATATGGGATGCCAGTGCTTCAGGCCAGGGCGTTAACCCACTGCACCACAGTGCTGGCCCCAGTCCTCCTTCTCTTAACACCAACCCCCACAAATTCTTAACCCTGGAGGGCTCTATAGCTCAGTCTTGGTTCCTTCTTCATCTCTTCCTTGGCATTCTCACATACTCTCAGTGCTGTAAATTTCCTCTCTATGCTGATGACTCCACATCTCACTTCTGAACACCAGACTTGTATAATCCCCACCTTCCTTGACATGTCTGCTTGGATGCATCTCCAGGGCAGGCATTTGGCGTGGCAGTTCAAATGCCACTTGCAAACCCAGCCTCCCTTATCAGAGTGCCAGGGTTTAAGTCCCATCTCTGCTCCTGATTCCAGCTTCCTTCTAATATGTTCCCTGGGAGGCAACAGGTGATAGCTCAAGTACTCGAGTCCCTGCCCCATATGGATTGAGTTTCTGTTTCTTGTCTCCTGGCTTCGGCCTGACCCAGCCCTGGTTGTTGTGGGCTTTTGAGGAATGAACCAGTGAATGGGAGATCTCTCTCTGTCTCTGTTTTGCGCTCTCTCTCTCTCTCTCTCCCTGTGGCCCCTCCTCCTTCCACACCAGTCTGATCTCAGCACAGCAGCCAGAGAGGCTGTTCAGTACACATCAGATCATGTCACTCCTCCGTGCGTTGCCTCTGCCTCCCCTGTAGCTCTCTATCTCTAAGTAAAGGTCAAAGTTCTGATGGGGACTTGGCAAGCTTTCCATGGTCTGCCCGGCCCCTTATGTCCCAAGCCTCATCTTCCACCAGTCTCCTCCTCTGGCTTTCTCTCTGTTCTGCAAGTGGCTCATGCACTTAGAACCATTGCACAGGATGTTACTCTACCTCTAGCAGTCTTACCCTAGATATTGGACAACCTTCCCCTCACCTTCTCAGGGCATCCTCAAGGGTCTTTTCAATGAGACCACTTATTTAGTTGACAAACTCACTTAAAATTTCATTTCCCTGAAACTAGCACTTCTCATCCCTAATATACTTCTTTTTCTTTCTTTAAAAAATGTTTTTTTAAAATTTATTAATTACTTATTTGAAATACACAGAGAGAGAGAGAGAGAGAGAGAGAATCTTCTGTCTACTGGTTTACCCTCCAAAGACCTGCAACAGCCACAGCTAGGCCAGGCCAAAGTCAGGAGCTGGAACTCACTCTGGGTCTCCCACGTGGGTGGCAGCAACCTAGTTACCTGCACCATTACCTGCTTCCTTCCAAGGGGCACATTAGCAGGACACTGGAATCAGAGGCAGAGCTGGTACTGGAACCCAGGGTCTCTGTTATGTGATGTGGGTCTCACACAGTGCCTCAAATGCTGAGCCACAACATCTGTCTATACTTTTTCTTTAAAAAATATTTTTTGATAACACTACCATTGGACATATGTTTAAGCTTATTTATTACATGTGCTATTTATTCTCTGTTCCTCCTGTACCCCCCTCTCCTCCCCATTTACATTCTATAAACTCTATGAGGGCAGGGATGATTTTTCTTCTTTTCTGTTCATGCTTTTGGTCTGTTTTGGTTCCTATAAACTCCTGATACACAAGAGGTACTTCACAAATATTTGTTGGATGAATGAATGACGGAAGGAAGACAGTGATGAACAAATCACTGTAGTAGAGCATTCGTTCTCAGTTGAGGGCCATGAGTTTCCCAAGGACACTGGGCAATAGCTGAAGTCATTTTTGATTGTCGTGACCTTGGAGATTACACCACTGGCATCTTGTGGGTAGATTATGGTGGTTGTTAACCGTCCTACAAGACACAGAACAGCCCTCCCACAACAAAGAATGATCCGGTCTAAAATGTCAGTAGTGCCAACAGCTGTACAACCCTGTATTGGGGCACAAATGCATGTTTTGGGGTCCATGAAGGACACGGACTTCTTCTGTATTCCTTACAGATTCTAGAACACTAGTGAACACGTGGGTGGTCAAACACAGTTGTGAAGTGGGAACTCATTAACTGAGCGAGAACTCATCCAAATTGGTTGCATGGATGGATTAGTGGGTAACTAAAGACATTTCCTTATTTGTTGGAATTGTGCCTCTCCCATTTCTCAGTAAGACTACATGAAGCCCCAAACTGGAAGCCATGAGACAGGATAGCCACCCTCAAGCAATTACAACATAATTAGAAATAATATCCATATGAAGATTTAAAAGTTACTGTGAACAGTGGCAAGATATTAAAGAAAAATGGCAGACGCCACGGCTCACTAGGCTAATCCTCCACCTTGCGGCACCGGCACACCCTGCTCTAGTCCCGGTCGGGGCACCGGATTCTGTCCCGGTTGCCCCTCTTCCAGGCCAGCTCTCTGCTGTGGCCAGGGAGTGCAGTGGAGGATGGCCCAAGTGCTTGGGCCCTGCACCCCATGGGAGACCAGGATAAGTACCTGGCTCCTGCCATCGGATCAGCGCGGTGTGCCAGCCACAGCACGCCGGCCGCGGCGGCCATTGGAGGGTGAACCAACAGCAAAAGGAAGACCTTTCTCTCTGTCTCTGTCTCTCTCTCTCACTGTCCACTCTGCCTGTCAAAAAAAGAAAGAAAGAAAAAAGATATTAAAGAAAAATATTATGCAGAAGAATTGAAAATATAAGTATATAGTGCAGAAGAGTGATCAGAGTGAAAAGAAGTTACAGGGAGGAAATTTTTCAGAGGGGCGTTCTGAGATGGTTTTGCAAAGAAGTGCTGGATACAGAATAGAAAAGAGAGGAAGAGGGGGAAGAGGAGGTAGGAAAGGGGAGATGAGAAGTTAAGGAGAGTGGACAAGGAAAGAATGACCAATGACCAGGAGTATGTGGGGCATTCATCCTGTGAACATAAAATAACATCAAGTGTTGGGAAGAGTTCACATTCTGACTCAGTAAGCTCAGCCCCTGAGTTCTAGCACTAGGAGGAGAGGAGAGGCCGGGTGATTGCATTCTCTGGAGAGGGTCCGCATATCAGTGCCAGCAGGGGGGTACTTACTTGCTTCATTTTAACTCCCCACATCGAACCACTAACATCGATGACAAAGAGGATGTTCTTGGGAATTGGTTCCAGGTTGTCAGGAGCAAAGAAGTGGACGAAATATCCATTAAATACCTGAAATATCAAACATGATTGTGAGTCAAATCATGGCAGTGTTTAGGGGACAAGGAGACAAGGGGCCTCGGGGACTAAAGGAGGAGGGATGAGGCATGGAAGAAGGAGTCTTGCTGCCCATAAAGAAGAGAACAGCGGTGGCCGCTGGCTCCCATCAGCCTCTCCCTTCTCCTCCAGCTCCCTATGGTTTCTCTTGCTCAGCAGGGAATTCTGCTCCACCCCACTCTGCTTCACACTGTCTTCATCGCCAGTCTGTCCCCAGCGTTCTGCTAACCAGCTGTGAATCGGGCAGAGTCCCTGCCCTCACGGAGCTCACAGGTTGGCAGAGGATGTGGGGAGTGGGGCCACTTGCAGCACAATGTACACGTCATGCTTAGGAGAGCCAAGGGCTCTGAGACGCTCTTGATGGAGGTGCATCTAACACCATGGAGGGAAGCCTCCCTAAGAAAAGGGACCTGAGGGGGAGCTTGGACTTTATGGGCACTGGGTAGGGTGGTGGAGGAGGGAGGAGAGTTCCAGACAGTGCAACTGTGAGAGAACATGGCACACTTGGAGGCTTTATAAGTAGTTCAACACCAGGGGGCCCTTGAATTCAAGAAATCAGGGTGGAGAATCAGCAGGACAGATTATGGAAGATTTCGCTGTGCTATTTTAGAGAACTGGGATTTTTCTCAAAGTCAACGGGAAGCAGCTCCAGTTGGGCTCTGGTTACTCTGTCATCTATCAACTGGATCACCTTATTTTCTTTCCATTGTCTGCTGGTTGCTTCTATGGGGACATTAGTGTCCAGTCTCAGGGCAGGTGGCTGTGGCTTCCAACACACTTCACCTTCTGTCCTGGCAGACTCACAGGCTTTGACATGCCCTAAGGGCTCTTACCTTAGCACAAGGACACAGGGAAGACACGACCAAAGGGGAGAGGGAAATTTCCAAGACAGTTCACAATAAACCTGGGCCATGGAATTCACCACTGCCTCTGGGTCTTTCTCTAGATTTTGGTTGTGTGTTTCTCCTTGCCCCATAATCTTTGTGATTTTTTTTTTTTTTTGGATCATCTATGTGCAAAGGACTGTGGGAGGTTAGCCAAAATTCTCATTTTGTAATTTTCATCTGGGAAAAAAGCATGAGACCCAAAGACCCTTTATTTAGTTTTTAATGACAGAAAAGAGAATATTTTGTGACATATTAGAGAAATATGGTTTCAATCCCTTCCCCACAGCCTCAACACTTGCCCCAGCAGTTGGAAACTATGTATAAGCGAGGGAGTTTGTACAACAAGGACCAGTTCTGTAGCCACGGTGTGGTAGTTCTACTGAAGTGTGTTTACACGCACCTCAAGTTCACCCGCCTTCTCTTCTCTGTTCACATCATACATCACCACCAGCTGGCCATCTACCGCAGTCTCCGAGCAGTTGGAGCACTTTCTCTGCTGTGCCACTGTGGGCTTGAAGGAGACATGTGCCTGGAAAGAACAGTGATGTTAGAATCTGCCCCTTCCAGGTGAGGGCTTGGTAGCTGCACCTGCTCATGCACACAGGTGTTGCCCGACGGCCATTCTGTGTCCAGTCAGCATCCACTACTGATGCAAGGGACAGAGCCAGGGTAGCATCTGCCAGCTCTGGGAAGAGTTTGTGGAAGGTTTCAAGAGGAATTCATAGCTGGTTAGTGTTGGCTGCTGCAGTAGAGAGATGAATATATTTTTCCGTGATTAATACAAATATATCATTTATTAGAGCAAAGCTCTCTTTTAGCTACTGGTCAATTGGATGACTGAGGGGAATGAGGCTACAAAAGAGACAGTCTCTGGGTTAAAATGGGGAATGCCATTTTGTGTATATCCTGTGGAAGGCTCTGGGCTCTCGCTAGAAATCAGTGTTCCTTCCTACAGCATCTTCTACTCAAGACCAGACCATTCTCTACCCTCCAGAGCACACAGCGGGAGAAAGGAACCTAGGAGCTAGTGGCCACTTCAATGCTTTGCAACACGCAGTGGTTAGGGTACCTTTTGGGGTCCTTTCAAGACAACTGGAACACCATCAAAATGGCCTTCAAATGTGTCAGGAACATGAAGAAATCTCAGTCCTTGAGGTTCAATTATCCACACATCTACCTAGAGACGGGAAGACAATTATACAAAACATTGAACGATTTTACTCTGCGGATTTGTCAAAAATAGACCATATTCTTCCCTGTGTTGGATCTTTTTATTCTTTCTGTGTCTTATTGTTTTGAGAAGACCATAGGGGCAAATTCCTAGGACTCCTGGCAAAGCCATAGCTGTAGCTACTGCTTCTTCAATGCTTGCCATATTTTCAGTATTGTGCTAAGCCCTTCACGTGGATTAATCCATTTCATTCTCACCACCACCACCACCACTTTCATCACTATTATTATTATTTGCTGTGGTTATTATTTGTTATGACTTCTTTTACAGATGCAGAAGCAGGGACTGACTCAGGTTACAAATGCAGAGCCAGGCTTCGAGCTCAGAGCCTGAGCTCTTGATTCCTTGCACACAGTACTTGACTTTGAACAATCATCTCCGGTTCCATCTTCTCAGATAGCATTGTTGCACTAGTGTTGGGTTTCATGCCACAATATTGTACTGGGGTTTATTTTTCAATTGAGAGCACCCATTTCAGTGTGAGGTCATTAGCTAGTGCACACACACATGCCTTTCCACTCTGCCTCTTCCTCATTTAGGATCATTTGCAACTGTGATGAACTATCTTCCTATTGGAAGGCCCTGAATCAGACCTACATCTTCTCTTTAAAAATTTTGTGAAAAAATATCATGGCCCTGGTTTGAGCAGAGCAACTTGTCTTTCCTGGTTCTTACACTCCGAGCACAAGATGATGTGAAGTTGACTTGCTTCCAAGATTTCTGCTACCTCCACAAGATCAACTATAATTCCCCGTATTGGCAAAAACTGTCTAGTAGAAGCAAATGGGCCAGAGGTCTCTCTGGTGGGTCTGACCCAGCCACTGCTGGTAGATAGTGGAGAAGCTCTTGAAGGAAAAAGCCCAGAGGACCTGCAGAGAACTGAGGCCTTGGCTTTCATTCTTCCGCAGATTCCACCCACAAATGGGTATCAGGGCCTCGGGACAAGGTTTGTTCCTCTGTGAGAGGATTCGCGATAGAAGGAGAATTTTCCCTTGAAGTGCAGAAGCCTTTAGCAATCCCGTGTTCAACTGGACACAGATACAACTGTAAAATCTGGTAACACTCCCCTCTCCCCTCTGCCGGGACAGTGAACATTTTGGGAAGTATGTGCTTGAAGCCCCACAGTTGGTTCGGCTGGGAGGTCAGGACCAGCCCCCACTGGCCTTGAGTCACAAACTATATTTGTTGCTCTTCTCAAAGGACTACAAGAGTCAGAATAAAAGGTTCCCCTTGTGTCCATCTCATTGGACACAACAAGGAGGTTTTAAGAGAGATCCTATTCTCCTTGGTTTCTGTAGGGGAGAAGGTAGTTCCAATTTGGGGGCCCTTCAGATGGTGATTAAAAGCCTTTGGGGGGGCAGGCACTGTGGTGCAGTGGGTTAAAGCCCTGGCCTGAAGCACTGGCTTCCCATATGGGTGCCGGTTCTAGTCCCGGCTGCTCCTCTTCTGATCCAGCTCTCTGCTATGGCCTGGGAAAGCTGTGGAAGATGGCCCAAGCACTTGGGCCCCTGAACCCATGTGGGAGACTCAGAAGAAGCTCCTGGCTCCTGGCTTCGGATCAGCCCAGCCCCGGCTGTTGCTGCCACCTGGGGAGTGAACCAGTGGATGGAAGACCTCTCTCTCTCTCTCTGCCTCTGGCTCTCTGTAACTCTGCCTTTCAAATAAAGAACTAAATCTTTAAAAAAAACGAAATGAATATGACAGCAAAGGTGTGTTTAAGTCAAATAGAAAACAAAGTGACTGCCAAAAGCATTGAGGTGATGAGGTAGGGGTGTGTAGATTGGCATCGGAAGACAATGAACTTATCATTCGTGGAACTCCTGCTATTTGTCAATTATTTCTGAAAGTTCATCTCACTGACAATTGAGGAAGGGAAGTATGGATGGTTTTCATAAGTGAGACCCAGGGTAGTTTGTCCCTGAAGAGCAGTGTTGGGGTTGGATGGTGCTCACCACCACCCCTCAGCTATGTTTACCTCCAGTATCTGGAACCTGTGAATGTGAACGTATTTGGAAAAGAGGTCTTCTGTGCAGATGTAGTTCAGTGAAGGATCTTGCGAACATCCTGTCCTACCTGGTGAGCCTTAAATGCAACGACCAGTGTTCTCATGAGAGAAAGGCAAAGGGAGGTTTGAGGTGCTCAGAGGAGGAGGCAGTGCGACCATGGAGGGAGTGATCAGAATGATGTTGGTGCTAGAATGACGTGCTTTGCATCATCTCTGAGACAGCAGCTCTGCAAGATAGACATCTTGTGGGGCCAGTACATCAAGGAGTGCCAGCAGCTGCCAGGCACCAAAAGAAACAAGGAAAAGACTGCTCCCGGTCGGCACCGCGGCTCACTAGGCTAATCCTCCGCCTTGCAGTGCCGGCACACCGGGTTCTAGTCCCGGTCGGGGCACCGGATCCTGTCCCGGTTGCCCCTCTTCCAGGCCAGCTCTCTGCTGGGGCCCGGGAGTGCAGTGGAGGATGGCCCAAGTGCTTGGGCCCTGCACCCCATGGGAGACCAGGAGAAGCACCTGGCTCCTGCCTCCGGATCAGCGCGGCGTGCTGGCCGCAGCGCGCCAGCTGTGGCGGCCATTGGAGGGTGAACCAAAGGCAAAGGAAGACCTTTCTCTCTGTCTCTCTCTCTCACTATCCACTATCCACTCTGCCTGCCACAGAGGGAGCGCAGCTCCACTGACACTTTGAGTTCAGATTTACGTCCTCCAGATGCAGTGAGGATATATTTCTGTGTCTGTGCTCACTTGTTAGGGCACCTCCAGAAAACGGCCAGAGCTAATAAGGAGCTCAACTGGAACTGAATTCTGGAAGGAAGTAGTGAGGTTGGCTCCAAGCCTGAAGGTCTTCAGAGCACCATACTGTGTTGCAGAGTTGCATGGCAACAATCACCACACATAGTGAAGACAAAAGAAGTAAAATAAGCCATGGGGCTAGTGTTGTGGCAAAGCGCATTAAGTTGTCACTTGGCGGCAACCCCATATCTGAATTCTGGTTTGAGTCCTGGCTGCACTGCTTCCATTCCAGCTCCCTGCTGATCCACCTGGGAAGGCAGCGGCCGATGGCCCAAATACTTGGGTGTCTGCAACCCATGTGGCAGACCCAGATGGAGTTTCTGACTCCTGGCTTTGGCCTGCCCTAGCCCTGGCTATTGCAGCCATTTGGGGGGTGAACCAGTGGATAAAAGACCTCCCCCCACTCAAATAAATGAAAGAAGCTTTAAAAAATGGAAGCTTCTGATCCAACTCTCTGCTATGGCCTGGGAAAGCAGCAGAAGATGGCCCAGGTCCTTAGGCTCCTGCACACGTGTGGGAGACTTGGATGAATCTCTTGGCTCCTGGCTTCAGATTGGCTCAGCTCTGGCTGTTGTGGCCATCTGGGGAGTAAACCAGTGGATGGACGGGGTCTCTCTCTCTCTGTCCTTCTACCTCTCTGTAACTCTGCCTTTCAAATAAATAAATAAATCTTTTTTAAAAAATTAAGCAAAATAAGCCAGACACAGAAAGACAATACTGTGTATTCTTTATCACATGTGTGTGGAGGGAAGAGGAATGGGGGGGATTTGACAATGGGAACCAATATGCAATTGCGTGAAGGTGACCAGGTCTGACATTCTGCAGAATAGTGGTGCAACTATAGTTCATGATAATGCATTATATTCTATATAAAGAACTAGAGGAGAGGAGCTGGTAGGCTCCAAACACAAAGAAAATCTAAGGAAATGGAAAGTTCAATTGCCTTGTTTGGTAATTTTTTGTTGGGTATATGTGTTGAAATATTACACTCTACCCCATAAAAGTGTATAAGTATTACATGTTAAGACAAAATTAATAAAAAGCATCCTGGTTCATACCCTCAGATAAAGAGCATGAAAACTTGGCTTCCCAAGCCTTCAGGTTTCTTATCAGTATATTAACTGCCCTCCCTGGAGGAATGTTGTGAGAACGAAATTAGGTAAGTGGGAAGGAGAGCAAATCTAAATCAGAGGACAGGAACCACGAGAGGAAGTGTAAATCCATGCTCACCTCCAAGTGCTTGGCCAGCCTTCCAGGCTTCAGGTGAAGTCTGTGCTCATAGGACCCCAGCTTCCTCCACTTCACCTCCTGGTAATGAAGTTCGAACTGCACCTTTGCTCCAGGGAGGACGTTTACCTCGGTTTGGAAGTTCTCCATGTCAAGGGCCTTGCTCCTAAAGGTGGGGGTCCCCAGTGAATTAGCCATCAGATGCACAGCTGAGTGGGAAGGCTCAGAATCTAGGCAGAGGGCATCTGGTTTTGGCTGCATGATCAGACCTGATTATTTGTTCATGAAAATAAATAGTAGGTACAATAGAAATAAGAGTAACCTCTGGTTAAATTAATCTCCCCAAGAATTTCAGTCTCCCATCCAACTTCAACTTTTGCTTTCAGGGCTTCTTGCAGATTTGAGTGTCACCTGTAAAAAGCTACCGTTGATGGGTCCCACCTCTCTGCCAGAAGCTTGCTTTGTATCACCTCTAAGATGGCAAGATGGACATCATTACCTTCATTGTTCGGATAACAAGCGGGAGCAGCAAGTGAGAATCATTGAGGAGAAGTAGCTTTCTCAAGATCCCATGGCTACTCAATTGCAAGACCAAGACCCCAACCTAAGTTTAGGGAACCCCAAAGACAGCGTGGATTTCTTATGCTACATTTGAGATCCACTCTAGGAATTGTTTATATTTGTTAAAGTCTTCAGAAAGAAGAATTCTACTTTCCCATAAATTTGAGTTCGTATTTCTAGCATGCGGCCTGATTTAGTTACTATACATTTTGAGTCCCATGTGATCCTAGATCTGGAGGTTTTTGTGGTTTTGAAGAGAAACCAGCAAGATTAACAAATAAAGGTGATTCCAGAATTAGGACTAACAAGGAATAATTTTTAACATGATTCTTCTTTGCACGAAATCACTAAAAGAATAAGGAAATTGGGCATATTCAGCCCATCTGTGCGCAGCTGGCTTGGGACATTGGTAGTTGAAGAAAAAGAGAACATGGCCTGCTGGAACTGCTGGAATGTTCAAGGTAGAACATGCCCTGGGAGGCCATGTTTACCGGAAGGATGGACTGGAAGGGGGACTCTGTGTTCTCTGCTGTATCTCCAGTGCCCAGAAAGTTTTTGTTATTTTTAAAAGCTTTGTGGAATGAAAAAGTGAACCAATGAATGGTAGGTAAAAGTGGGAAGAATGGTTTGTAAAGACAAAAGATCGGATTAACCAGCAGCAAGGCTGTAGGCGTTCCTTCTGCTTGCAGTTTCTTCTTTCCTCCCCTCACTTTATGAATCCTTTTAAGCTACTGGGTCCCAGCTCAAACATCAGACCTCAGTAAATATTTTCTGGACTTCTGCAATACAACTGCACACCCGGTCTTTGGAACTCTCACAATGTTTGGGATCTCCTCCACACTAGCGTTTACCCCACTATCAACAGTGCAGCCATCAGCTCCTTGTCTGTCTTCTTCACAGTGTATGTTTGGGTGTTTGCCTCGTGTTGGTGGGCTCGGTACTCACCTCTTTTAGAACTGGATATAGAGCTGACATCTAATGCATTTTTGTTGAATGAATGGATGAAGGCATGAAGTAAATGAAAAAACTCAATTAAAAGTAAGTTTGACTATAGAGAAGAGAAGATGAAAGAAAAAAGCACGACAGGGGTGGGTGTTTGGTGTAGTTGTTAAGATGCTGCTCGGGACATCTATATCTTATATTAGAATGCCTGAGGGGCTGGCGCTGTGGCATAGCAGATAAATCTGCTGCCTGTAGTGCCAGCATCCCATATGGGCACTGGTTTGAGACCTAGCTGCTCCACTTCCAATCCAGCTCTCTGTTATGGTCTGGGAAAGCCGTGGAAGATGGCCCAAGTGCTTGGGCCCCTGCACCTGCATAGCAGACTTGGAAGAAGCTCCAGGCTCCTGGCTTCAGATCAGCCCAGCTCCGGCCATTGCAGCCATTTGAAGAGTGAACTAGCATATAGAAAACTGACCTCTCTCTCTCTCTCTCTCTCTCTCTCTCTCTCTTCCTTTGCCTTTCTGTAACTCTGCCTTTCAAATAAATAAATCTTTTTTTAACAATTCCAGACCTTTTCTTCTGTACCCATGTTGAGTTCTGTAACAACATCATCAATATTTCTGTAGTTCCTCCCTGCACTCTAGAAAGATCAGTGTTTGTTTATTTAAAGAACATCCATCTGTGAAAGATTCCTCAGTTCCCATTGATTGAATAGAGGCCCTCACAGAAACAGACATTGTGATACCTGGTTCTACCATCTGACTGTAAAAGTTTGGCATTTGCTTGGATTCTTTGCCTTGCTGGAGGCTGGATTGCTATTGTAGAAACGGGTTACAACAGGAAGCAGCAATTGAGATGAAAAGGCAAGTCCCACTTGCCCAGCCCTTACCTCACCAATCCAGCTGTCTTGCCTTTTGCCCTTGCCTGTGAATAGAGAGCTCGGCCCACAGTTTTCTCCTTGATGGAACTGGTAAATGTTGTGCCATCAATAGTCCTGGAAAATGATACAAGGCAATCTGTTGGTTAGAAGAGTAGTTCGAACAAAACTAACACACAACAAGCAACCAATCCTATGAGACAGACTTAATGAATGGTGCAATGATCATTTTGCATCTATAAGAAACAAGAAGGAAGACGTTTGAATAATTCATCAATGGGACTCTGTTGACAATTTGAATATAGAAGGACTAGGTAGGCTCCCACCCTAAGAGCTTTCCCTGAAGCACTTTTGTATTTAAACTTTCTCCTCATTTTCAAAGTTTATCCTTCAGTCTAAGTCGTATTTTCTTTGAGTATTTCTTTCTTTTAATAGAACATTTTTATTTAATAAATACAAATTTCGAAAGAACAACTTTTGGATTTTATGGTTCTTCCCCCAATACCCACCCTCCCACCCGCAAACCATCCCATCTCCTACTCCCTCTTCCATCCCATTCTTCATTAAGATTCATTTTTAATTATCTTTATAAATAGAAGATCAACTCTATACTGAGTAAAGATTTCAACAGTTTGCACCCACACAGACACACAAAGTATAAAGTACTGTTTGAAGACTAGTTTTACTGTTCATTCTCATAGTACAACACATTAAGGACAGAGATCCCACATGGGGAGTAAGTACACAGTGACACCTGTTGTTGATTTAACAATTGACACTCTTATTCATGACATCAGTAATCACCCAAGGCTCTTGTCATGAGCTGTCAAGGCTATGGAAGCCTCTTGAGTTCACAAATTGAGTAGTTCTTTTAATTGAAAGTTGACAAGGAGAGATGATTGATAAATCACTAAGGATCTTGTTTGCATTTGATTCGTTAGATTATTATTCTGTGAGTTAAGAATTTGGTGGGGCTGGTGCTGTGGCACAGTGGGTAAAGCTGTCTCCTGCAGTGCCAGCATCCCATTTGGGTGCTGGTTAGAGACTCAGCTCCTCCACTTCTGATCCAGTTCTCTGCTATGGCCTGAGAAAGCAGTAGAAGATGGCCTAAGTCCTTGGACCCCTGCACCTGCATGAGAGACACAGAAGAAAGTCCTGGTTCTTGGCCTAGGATTGGCTTAGATCCAGATGTTGGGGCCATTTGGGGAGTGAACCAGCTGAGGAAGACCTCTCTCTCTCTCTCTCTCTGCCTTTTAAATAAATAAATAAATCTTTTTTTTTTTTAAAGAATTTGGCATGGCCTCAGGGTATGCAATGGACTGTTTGCATCTCTTCAAAATTCAAATAATACATTTCCAACCCCTCCCCCATAGGATAGTATTAGAAAGGAGGTCCTTTTTTTTTTTTCAGGGTGGTGGGGGGAGGATAATCAGGACATGAGGTTGTCACCCTCATGAATAGGATGGATGACCTTATAAGAAAGGCTCCAAAGAACCCTCTTGCTCCTTCCCACCATGTCTGTGAACCATGAAGCATGCCCTCACCAGACACCGAATTTTCCAGCACCTTAATCGTAGACTTCCCAATCTCCAGAACTACGAGAAACAAATACCTGCTGTTTATAAGCCACCCACACTAGGGTGCTCTGTTAGCTCTGTTATATCAGCCTGAGATGACCCAGACCTTGGGAGCTTCTGCTTATCTCCTTAAAAATCTCCCATAGGGACACCTGTTTTTGCGCAGTCTCTACCCACCTCTTTTTTTTTTTTTTAAGCTAGCACCTGACACTAACCCCATGATGACTGGCCAGAAATCAGACAGAATTATAGAACTTTACAAGTCAATGGAAACTTATTGTACTCAAATGGGCACTGTCTTTCTTAAAGAGGACTTTATAAATGGATGGAGAAATTTCCAGTTATTCTGATGACTGGAAAGTGCTGCTGGCATTTACAGATGGACATCAAGAATGCCACAACCTAAGGGACAGCTCTAGTCAGGATGTTTGCTGCCCCAAACGATGACAGCATTGTGCGTTCAGACACAGCTCCCAGGTTTGTCTTCTTACAACAGAGACAAATGGCTTGTCCAAGGTCACACAGCTGGCGCAGATCAGAGTGAGTCTGGAAGTCCACATGTCCAGGAAGCCCTCTGCTAGCATGCTCTAAGGATCAAACACCTAGAAGTCTTTGAGACCAAAGGAAATCCTCTCCTTTAGTAGAATATTTGGGACCATGCTAAAAAGGCAGAAGATATAGTTTGGCTAGTACGGAGTTCTGTGAAACTCAATTTAAATAGTGATGACTAACCAGCCATCTTGCCTGGTTTTTTAAAGTCAGCCCTGCATAGAAGGAGAAAAAAAAATGAATATTTCACAGTTCTGTGTTTCATCACCTCATATATTCTATGGGATGAGATGGGAAGAAAAAAATAAAGAAATACAGAAAGAAAAACTTAAAATAAGCTCTGATTATGCAGTTTAAAAAGAACTCATTAAAAATAATTTTAAATGTAACCTCTAGACATAATATTATATAATTCCACAATAGAAAGCATTTTCTTATCCTTTTAAAAATATATTAATTTATGAAAGGGAGAGAGAGGGAGAGAGAAAGAGGGAGAGAAAGGCCTTCTATTTGCTGATTCACTCTCAAAATGCCTACAACAGTCAGGGCCAGGCCAGGCGGGAGCCGGGAGCCAGGATCGAGGAGCCAAGCACTCCACTCAAATCTCCTATGTCGGTGGTAGGAAACACTTGAACCTCATCTAGTGACTCCCAGGTGCATATGAGCAGGAAGCTGGATTGAAAGCTGCACCAGGATATGGGAGGTGAGCGTCCCCCAGCAGCAGCTTAACGTGCTGCACAAGAACTGCCCCTCCCTGTACATTTAAAAAACGGCTGACTTTTAAAAAAGTTGTACTCTGAAAGGCAATGAAAGTTGCTGAGTGCTTTTCCCCACTACTTTGCTTTCTTTAGAAAATATAGTTAATGTGGCTCTGAGGCTTTTAGCAGCTACAGTGCATGGTCAAAATTCAACCCTTTATTTCATTTATTTACTCACAATTATAATTGATGCCTCAATGGGTGAGTGAAAACTGGATGAGGGAGTGGGAGTTTGGATCACCGGTTAAGATGTTACTTGTTTCCCATGACCCATTTTGGAGTGCCTGATTTCCTGTTCCGCCTCTGCTTCTGATTCTAGCTTTCTGTCAATGCACACCTTGGGAGGCAACAGCTGATGACCCAAGTACTTGAATCACTGCTATTCACATGGGAGACCTAGATTGAATTCCAGGTTCCTGGCTTTGCCCTTACCCATCTCTGCCTGTTGTGAGCATTTGAGATGTGAACCAGTGATCTCCCTGCCTTCCCTCTGTCTCTCTTTCAAATAAGATAAATAAATAAATAATAATTAATATATACATAATTTTAAAAAGTGAATAAGAGGGGCCGGCGCTGTGGCATAGCAGGTAAAGCCGCCGCCTGCAGTGTCTGCATCCCATATGGGCGCCGGTTCGAGTCCCGGCTGCTCCACTGCCTTTTTTTTTTTTATTAAAATTTTTTTTATTTGACACGTACAGTTATAGACAGTGAGAGAGAGAGAGAGAGAGAGAGAGAGAAAGGTCTTCCTTCTGTTGGTTCACTCCCCAAATCGCCGCCACGGCTGGCGCTGTGCTGATCCGAAGCCAGGAGCCAGGTGCCTCTTCGTGGTCTCCCATGCAGGTGCAGGGGCCCAAGTGCTTGGGCCATCCTCCACTGCCCTCCCGGGCCACAGCAGAGAGCTAGACTGGAAGAGGAGCAACTGGGACTAGAACCCGGTGCCCATCTGTTCCACTTCTGATCCAGCTCTCTGCTATGGTCTGGGAAAGCAGTAGAAAATGGCCCAAGTCCTTGGACTGCTGCACCCATGTGGCAGACCTAGAAGAGGCTCCTGGCTCCTGGCTTCAGATCGGCCCAGCTCCAACCCTTGTGGCCAATTGGGGAGTGAACCATTGGATGGAAGATCTCTCTCTCTCTCTGTAACTCTGACTTTCAAATAAATTAATAAATCTCTAAAAAAAAAAAAGTGAATGAGAAGTAATCCAACCTGGTGTCTTCATAAAGAATAGCCAGATGTTATGCAGAATATTGTGCCCGGTTCTTGGCTACCTAACAGAGACATTAATCAACTGCATCCATTCTGGGGAAGGCCCCCTGATACTCCCTAGTGGAAAATCCTTTAAGTTACTTGGAGGAATAGGGTATTAAGCCTTGATATACAAAGCCTCCAAGTAGGCAAAGAACTGGTCTTAATTATTTGAAAGATGTTTTAGTAAAGTTTTTTATTATGTAAATTTTCAAACAAACAAAAAATAGGGTAACACAAGAGAACTTCATGAAGCTATCACTGAGCTATGTCATTATCAATACTTGGCCAATCTTAATTCATCTGTACTCCCACACTTTGTACCTCAGTTACTTTGAAGCCAATCTTTCATAGTATATCATTTCATCCATGAACACTTCAATATATATTTTGCAGAGAATTTTTAAAATGCTGTGTGAGTAGAACTAGAGTCATTGGGTAGAAAATGGAAAATATTTAAATTAAGAATAAGAATTCTAACAGAGCTGTCAACCATTGAATTGGTTTCCTTGAGGAGTGGTGGGTTTATCCATTCAGGAGATAGTCAAGTCAAGCCTGGATAACCCACTTGTCAGTGGTATAATAGAAGGATTTAAGCACTGGATAAGTGATTGGATTAAGTCAATGATTCTGAATCTTTTCCCTTATGGAGAGAGATGTGTGGCAGGTGACAGTGACTTGTGTCATACATGGCTTCCATAAGCTAGGCAACTCCATATATTTTTCTGTCCCCAAGAAATCATGTTAAAATACACATACATGGAAGGTCAATACTGTAGAGATAGTCTTAAGTTTGCTTTAATTTATTGGAAGTGAAAAGCCAATCAATCCTTCACAAATCCTGCTAAGTTGACCAGAAACAAATTGCTGAGACCAAACCTACAATGATTCTCAATGTCTAGTGCAGGCCCACAGGTCTGGAAGCTATGCCCACTGGAACGGTTGACTGTTAAGTTTCTTTCTAACTAGGAGGGTTTTTAATCCTGTGAGAAGAGCATATCCAGTGTATGGCTATATGAAGGAGCTACTCACATCGAGAAGTTGGAAATGAAGGCTCCTTTTGGAATCTCAACATCAAACACAACATTCTGAGGCTGTGGCGAGTTGTTTACCAGTTTGCTCTGGATGATGGTATTTGCCATACGAGAAGTAATAGTGGACTGGACTTTATAGCTATAAAGAGTTACTTGATCAACATCTTCCTGAAATCGACAAAAAAGCATAACTGTACTCACAGAAAAACCACCGAGCTTCGCTATGTAATTGATGCTAACTTCAACGCAAATGATTCTAGGCCATGGTAAGTATATACTCAGGTATTATTAAGCATTCTCCTAACTTCTTGGAATTTTCCCATAAGCAGAAGTTGACTTTCATCTGGAGATGCCTTTTAGCTCTCTGAGTCTATTTATAATGATTTTGTATGAGGACACCAGCGGAAAATAGTTGTGGGAAGCAAGAGTGGTTAATGTCCAAGAAATAACTTCAAATACAGGACTAGGAAAAGGGTATGCATTGCAGGGTTGGAAAGAGACCTTAGTTGTGTCTTCAGTGTGGGGAGTGACCAGCCAGTGGTGTTGTGGCAGTGAAGGTAGGCCTGGGGCCCTCCACACTCCATAATGCCACCTACCTTCTTCAGTCTTATCTCACAATTTCATCTTCATTCCTCTTCTCCTCCCTCACATTAAAGCAAACTCCAAGGACACAGATGAGGATGAGCAATGAACAGCGTATTCCTGGACAGGGCATTCTGACACGATACTTCCGCCCTTTGCATCTCCTTTCCTGATCCTTCCCCGCTGATTTAAGGCAGCCACAGTGTAAAACAAAATCACAGGCTGTCCGTATCCTCCAAGGCAAGGAACAGCAAGCACACGCTTTTGAGAATGTGCCTGAGAGCTTCGTGCTTCTTCAGGTCAGTGACAGCTATGTGACCCACTAGATTTTGCTTTATCTCCAAAAGGATTTGCTTATTTCAACACTCCATGTTTCCTGCAAACTTTGCCATCCAAGATTAACATCCAGCTCACCTCCAGCTAAGATAAAATTCAAGCTCACGTATTCGCCCTTCTTGCCCATGGAGTGTGTTTTTCTGGCCGTTCAGAGCAGGAAGCATAGCATAAGCCACTTCCTGTAGGTGTTTTCTTGCCACAGGAAGGTCTACTTTGAACAGCTCAGAGAACGGGGCCATTTCACGCCCAAGAGCTCCTTTCCCACAGTCATGCTTTTTATTCTCCAGAACTTTCAGGTGTCCTATTTTTTTTTTTTAATTTTTAAAAAATTTTTTTTAAAATTTTTATTATTTTTTTATTTTTTGACAGGCAGAGTGGACAGAGAGAGAGAGAGAGACAGAGAGAAAGGTCTTCCTTTGCCATTGGTTCACCCTCTAATGGCCGCTGCGGCAGGTGCACCGCGCTGATCCGATGGCAGGAGCCAGGAGCCAGGTGCTTTTCCTGGTCTCCCATGGGGTGCAGGGCCCAAGCACCTGGGCCATCCTCCACTGCACTCCCTGGCCACAGCAGAGAGCTGGCCTGGAAGAGGGGCAACCGGGACAGAATCCGGTGCCCCGACTGGGACTAGAACCTGGTGTGCCGGCGCCGCTAGGCGGAGGATTAGCCTAGTGAGCCATGGCGCCGGCCTCAGGTGTCCTATTTTAAATCAAAACTGTTAAGTTAGAATAAGTACATGAGGTTGAATGAAGCCTATGCTGTTGGCAAAACTCAGGAAAATAAAGAGAAAGGGCATGTTCAGTTCCTGGTGACTTCTCTCCTGTCTGCAAACACTGCACTCTCCAACGCCAAATTTTAGAAACATTTCCAAGCTGAGTTGGGCAAGGGGCTGTTTCAAAAGTCAGGTAAATACTCTCAGGGCTGAACACAGAGGAGTCATGTGGATTGATTTCCAGATAATAGTTAACAGGAAAATCATTGGGGTATCAATTTGTAACAAAATCAAAGTCAACTTACCCTCTCTTCTCCTGATTCGCCGGGAAGGCTTCTCTGTGGAAAGGAAGTTAGACAATCATTCTTCAACCGTAGGTTACTTATTACCCCAAGGGGAAAAGCTTCTCACAAGAAAAAAATTTTTTTCTTCAACACTGAGCTGTAATTTTCATACATATCAATAGTCTTGAAAATGATTTTCCTACTGGTGAGTTTCTCTGAACAAGTTTCTCAGCCCTTTTTGGTTGCACACATTTCACACTTTGAAATAATGTGAAAACAGATGTATTTAGATGAAAACATTCAACCAAACACACTGGGTAGCATTCAAGTACATCCTCTTTACTGTAGTTGTCTGATTCATGCTTTCATTAGTTGAGTGGTGAGCTGGATGCGCCACTCTGCCACGAGGCTCTGTGCAAGCTGTCCCGCCTCTGAAGTGCTCCTCCCCTGCCATGCTCCTTCGTCCCTTCCCCAACTCAGGTCTCAGCTCTGGTCGGATTTCTCCTGTGAAATTCTCTGACACCCTCCCCCCTCACCCCAGACAAGGTCAGTGTTTTTACCATTTTTGTTTTTTAAAAATTTATTTATTTATTTGAAAGCAAGAGATACAGAGAGAGAAGGGGAGAGAGGGAGAGAGAGAGAGAGAATCTTCCATCTGCTGGTTCATTCCCCCAAATGGCTGCAATAGCCAGGGCTGAGCCAGGCCAAAGCCAGGATCCAGAAGCTTCTTCCAGGTCTCCCACACGGGTACAGGGACCCAAGGACTTGGGCCATCCTTTACTGATTTCCCAGGAGCATTAGCAGGGAGCTGGATCAGAAGTGGAGCAGCTAGGATTCGAACTGGTACCCATGTGGGATGCTGGCGCTGCTGGCAGAGGCTTCACCTTTTATGCCAGAGTGGCAGCCCTGTCTTTACTGTTTTGAGAGCAGACTATTCCTTCCTGCAGGGCATCCACCTTGCTTTACAATTATCCATTCTATTGGAGGGGCGGTTTGATCAAGGTCTGTCTCCTTCTTAGACTAAGCTGTATGAGAGCAACACGTTAACGTATTTCTTCCCTGAAGTAGTTCCAGAGACAAGCACAGTGGCTGGCACCTGGGGAATTCCATGCTCTTAGCCACTGTGCCAGGGAAGGGGCTACACAGGTGACTGCCTTGTGGGAGGGGACAAAGGCAATGCCTTTGCCTTTGAAAGCTGAATGGTTTAATGTCTACCTGACAGATCATAAAATAATGTCAGGCATTGGCCAGAAGCGAAGCTTGCCAATTAGGGGGAGAGCCAAGGTGTTAGTGGGTGCTACATGATACAGCACAATCAACAATTGCCTTATTTCAGGTTCAAAATTATTTACTTATATTTGAGTAATTTTGAGTAAAATTATTTACTTATATTTGAGAGAGAGAGAGAGAGAGAAACAGGGACAGAGATAGGGAAATAGTGAGAGAGGGAGAGGGAGAGCAAGAGTGAGCCCATCCATTGGTTCACTCTCCAAATGCTCACAATAACTTGGGCTAGGCTCGAGGTCAAAAGTAGGATCTAGGAAATCAATCGAGGTCTCTCATGTGGGTGACAGAAACCCAATTACTCGACTTGTCACTGCTGCCTCCCAGGACCTGTGTTAGCAGGAAGCTGGAGTCAGGAATTCTGATGTGGGATTTTGGTATCTCAATCACTGAGCTAAATGCTCGTTCCCTATTTTATACTTTTTTGAAGTCAATATAGAATGATTAAGTTTTTTTTTTTCTTTCATTGGTTCACTCCCCAAATGGCTGCAATGGACGGCGCTGCGCCGATCTGAAGCCAGGAGCCAGGTGCTTCTTCCTGGTCTCCCATGCGGGTGCAGGGCCCAAGCACCTGGGCCATACTCCACTGTCTTCCCGGGCTGCAGCAGAGAGCTGGACTGGAAGAGGAGCAACCAGGACTGGAACCTGGCACCCATATGGGATGATGGCACCACAGGTGGAGGATTAACCAAGTGAGCCATGGCGCCCGCCCCATTGAATGATTAAGTTTTCTCTCTTGAGGCTAGACGAAGACACTGACCTAAGATCTTGCCTACTGGATTTTAATATTGGTCTACAGAAAGCTTGGACTTTTAGAAAATAAAAAATTCACACCCGGGGCTGGCGCTGTGGCATAGTGGGTAAAGCCGCCACCTGCAGCACCGGCATCCCCTAGGGGTACTGGTTCAAGTCCCAGCTGCTCCATTTCCTATCCAGCTTTCTGCTATGGCCTGGGAAAGCAGTAGAAGATGGCCCAAGTCCTTGGGCCCCTGCACCCGCAAGGGAGACCCGGAAAAAGCTCCTGGCTCCTGGCTTCAGATTGGTGCAGCTCTGGCTGTTGCAGCCAATTTGGGAGTGAACCAGCAGATGGAAGACATCTCTCTCTCTCTCTCTCTCTGCCTCTCCTCTCTCTGTGTAACTCTGACTTTCAAGTAACATAAATAAATAAAAAAAAATTCATACCCATATGGAATAAGTCACTGTTCAGGTTAGCATTTTTCCCATCAATACCTTTTATTTTATTTTATTATTTTATTTTATTTTTTGACAGGCAGAGTGGACAGTGAGAGAGAGAGAGAGACAGAGAAAGGTCTTCCTTTTGCTGTTGGTTCACCCTCCAATGGCCACTGCAGCTGGTGTGCTGTGGCCGGCGCATTGCGCTGATCCGAAGCGAGGAGCTTCCTCCTGGTCTCCCATGTGGGGGCAGGGCCCAAGCACTTGGGCCATCCTCCACTGCCCTCCAGGGCCACAGCAGAGAGCTGGACTGGAAGAGGGGCACCCAGGACAGAGTCCGGCGCCCCGACTGGGACTAGAACTCGGGGTGCCGGCTCTGCAGGCAGAGGATTAGCCTATTGAGCTACGGCACCGGCCTCCCATCAATACCTTTTCTCAGCCTGTGGACCCTTTGTGGGAGAAGCCCATTGATTAAGGGATTTTTATCTATGTTGCCTTTGGTGGCCAGTTCTCTTTTTTTGAACTCCTCCCCAAGACGGAGTGACTGAAGGAAGGAAAATGTGTGGCCACAGAGGGAAGTGTCAGTCACTCCTGGAATAGGAAAAGTCCTCCTAACAGTAAATCCCTCCTTACCAGGTAATGAAAACATTCCACAACCTAAGACTCATAAGAAAATACACGATCATATATTCTGGACAGCTGTTTGGAGGTCTTCCCTTATTTCACCTTGACAATGCTTTCATTTCAGCGTAAACATGTCAAACTCTCCACTGCTTAAAAAAAAAATGGCCTCTAGCAAAAGGGCATCTTCACACTTCTCTTACATCTTCAATCATGATTTCTTTAATTTGTTTTCCCTTTTGGAAGGAAAGCTTATTGTACCTCGTATCTCCGGTTGTCTGGAACAAATTGAAATTTGCCTGGGGCCAGTTCTGCAAAATCGCTATATTCTGCAAACTTAAAGAAAAATGTAGGATGATTATTTCTGTTTTTTAGAAATTAAAGCAAACCAAAGCAGCTAGTATTATTCAATATCTTAGTTTGTATTCTGTCCTCTGCCTCTGGGCTATCTTATTGTTTTTAATACAGTGATTTATTTCGGTCATACATTTTATGTTTGGCAGTGATGTTGCAGAGGTGAGTGAAGGAAAATTAACACCTTTGAGATTGTTGGAGGTAAGAATTCACTTTGTGGTTTTCCAGACCACGATGGGACAGACAGGTAGGGGTCAAAGAGACGCAGCGATTAGGCAGGTGCCTGGGGGAAACATTTGGGTGGATCTTGGGGGCACAACAGCGTCAGAATGGCAAGATGAGAGCCATACCACTCCCTGAGTTAAAAACAGGTATGAGGGAAAGAGCGGTTAGAAATGACTGAGAAGGGGCAAACAGATGTGGATGTCTTGGTTTCAGTTTGAGATCTCCAACATGCTCTGATGACTTTTAAATTGTTGGAAAATATGATAGTTTCTAAGGAAGAATGATTTTTTTCCCTCTGAAAACATGTCATATTTTTTGGGGGGTATTTTTGTACATAATCACACTTCAAACATTACAAGATTTTGCATTTACTAAGCTAGTCTCATAAGGCACTTTGCTTTTCTGGCATAAAATAAACTCCTGCAATGAGAGTGGCTAAGGGTCCCAGTTGGAGAACTGGAGCTCCATGAGAATTATTCTGGCACTTGGGCAGCCCACTTGCCATCTGCCCCTTTAACAGGAGCATTTACAGTGGGCTTTTTATTCAAATCATTGTTCACTTAGGTGTGAAAAACAATGGTGCTTTGATGATGACTTTCTTTATACTCCCAGTAAAACAGTGATAATGATATTTCTTAAAAATAATAATAGCTAATAATCATTAAGTGCATCCTAGTCCCTGAACCATGCTAGGTAGTTCACATGCATTATTTAATCCTCATAATAAAATCATTAGCACTCTCATTTTCTAGGCAAAGGAGGAAGCAGCTGGGCTCCATAAATTCTGCCCTATGGTCCCTGTCCATTGAACTTGACTTAATTATCATGCAACACCTGTTAATAGTTCGAAGAGGAAATACACAGCCCATGGATTGTAACATCAAACACCTGTGCTCAGATGCGTACTGTCCCAAGTTCCCCTCCTACACGGAATGAAGTCCTTAAATAGCAATTGTAATGGGTAATTGTAATAGGCAATTTTCTGAGCGTAGGACAACACTGGCATCCTCCGCAAGTACTTACTTCAGAAAGTCCATTTGTGGGGATTTCGAAGGCTTGTGCTTCCGAAAGAAGTAACCAGACGAGAAAACACGTGAGTCCTTTCATTTTTTTCTGGACAGCTTTGCCAACTTCCCCCTGGAGCAGGTGGTCTGGGAATTCCACTCCTTCCTACTGAACTATGTTCAAAGGAACACCAGAGAAGTACATTGCGTTTTAAAAAAAAGAAGACCACGACGAAGAAGTCTCTCTAATTTTGTTCAGAATCGGGACAAATATTTGTTCTGGAGCTCAAACTTGAGCTGTGGGGGCGGATCGGACACCCAGAGGTTATTCAAACAGCAGAGCCAAAGCAGTCGCTGGGTTGTGAGGACAAATCAGGGTCAGGTGGTTGCGCTTTTTTTTTCTTTTTGATTTTGTTGATTTCTATTGGTCCTAAAAATCAGAGAGACCTGAAGATAATTGTCATCTTTTTTAAAGGACCCCAGGGAAAAGCTACACCAAGAAAGAGAGCTGGAAAGAGAAAAGTTAAGGTGAAAAGATTCCGGAGACAAAATTGTTTGATTTAAATGAGAGCAGAGGGAATTTTCAAAAAGTAGGAGACAAAACACGATGGTTTTCTGAGCCAAGAATTCATTGCTTTTTTTCTCTGTCTCTGATAACTGAGAGTGTATTGCATGCAAAGAAGGGCGAGCGGCTGTGCAGGAGACAAAGTGTGCTCTCCCGGAAGGTGATTCAGGAGTGTCTTTGATGAAAGCAATGGTGTCTGTTGCTGCTGCCCCGCTGGCTCAGCTCAGTGGCAAAGCAATTCTTCCAGTTCCAGAAATCAGGGAAAGCCCGTATGGAAGCATATCACCTCGGTCCTTCCCATCCATGGTCCAGCTTCACAACAGCATTAATTCAGGTTCATTGAACTTATCACTGGTGTCAGGTCCTTTTATTTGCATTACGTGTGGATCAGCTGTCTACATTAAAGGGAAATGGTTTAAAGCTTATAATAAGTTAGGAATGAAGAGGAGACATACAGTGACTAATGTGAAAAATATTTCATACTTAATTGAAATATTAGGCTCCATGGTCTGCTTTTAAATTTACCAACATGTCAAATTTGTAAGAGATCTTCTGGAGATGCAAAGTGTTAAAAATGTCCTATAGGAGCAGCTGTTACAGAGCAGTGGGGTAAGCTGCCACCTGTACCCCCAGCATCCCATGTGAGCACCAGGTTAAGTCCTGGCTGCTGTGCTTCTAATCCAGCTCCCTGCTAATTAATGCTCCTGGGAAAAGCCGTGGAAGATGGCCCGAGTGTTTGGGAGACCTGGATGGAGTTCCAGGCTCCTGGTTTTGGCCTGGTCCAATCCTGGCCATTGTGGTTATTTGGAGAGTGAACCAACAGATGGAAGATCTCTCTCTCTCTGCTAAACAACAACAAAAAAATCTATTATTAAAAAATATCCATAATATGGAGATAAACCTACCAAAAAAACAGAGAAATAGAAAAATGTACATACAAAAGACAGTATGTCCTATTTTTTTAATTTCAGAAGATATATAAAACCTACATGATATACAGAAAGTGACTGTGTGTTTCCTGATTCATTTAATGAGGCAGATATTGGGCCAATATTCTCCAACCTGAGAAGTGTAGCATTTAAAAACAAGTTAGGATCAATTTAACTTATAAATAAGATGTAAAAGTAATAAATATAACTCTGGACATTTTGATACCTAAAATTATAATCTTTTATAATTAAAAGTGGATTAGTCTAGCAAGTTGATAATAAAACACCACCAAGAAAAGTACTAAAAATTATTTCATGATCTCAGTAGATATTAAAAAGCTATTCAGAAAGTTGTTTCAAAGTGCTTAAAAATGTTTGTTTTAGGGGGTAATTGAGGGAAAAAAAAACAAAAAAACTTGGTGCCAGTGTGTGGCATAGTAGGTAAAGCTGCCACCTGTAGTGCCGGCATCTCATATAGAAACTTGTTCAAGTCTCTGCTGCTCCACTTCTGATCCAGCTCTCTGTTATGGCCTGGGAAAGCAGTGGAAGATGGCCCAAGTCCTTGGGCCCCTGCACCTGCATGGGAGACCTGGAAGAAACTCCTGGCTCTTGGCTTTGGATTGTCATTGGTGCAGCTCTGGCCATTGTGGCCATCTGGAGAGTGAGCCAGTAGATGGAAGACCTCTCTCTCTGTGCCTCTGCTTCTCTGTAACTCTGCCTTTCAAATAAATTAATAAATCTCTTTTTTTTAAAAGGAGAGATTTGCAGAAATACAAAATAATTCATGTTTATGCAGAAAATATCTTTTTCATTAAAATGTTATTTCTTTAAATATGTAATTAAGTAATTAATACTATGATGAAGATTTTATTTACATGTACAATTGGATGAATGGATGAAAGATGCCTCCTTTTTCTCTCTCTGTCTTTTAAATAAATAAGAATAAATTTAAAAAGAAGCGCATATGAATACATGAAAATAAGCCACAGGCAGTGCTTATCTTTCAGTGGCTCAGCACGGTAGAGAGGAAGGATGGAGACCTGGATGTACCATGATAAAGGTGTGGAGGCTGTGGTGCAGTGGGTTGAATCCCAGGCCTTCAAAGTTGGCATCCCGTATAGGTGCCGATTCCAGTCCTGGCTGCTCCACTTCTGATCCAGAGCCCTGGTAATGTGCCTGGGAAATCAGCGGAGGACAGCCTAAGTGCTTTGGCCCCTGCACCCATGTAGGAGACTCAAAAGAAGCTCCTGGCTCCTGGCTCCTGGCTTTGGATTGGCCCAACTCTGGTTATTGTGGCCATTTGGGGGGTGAACCAGTGGATATTAAAGTCCTATCTCTTTCTCTGTCTCTAACTCTCTCTGTAACTCTGACTTTTAAAAAAATAAAATAACTCTTTAAAAAGAAAACAAACAAACAAAAAAAAGGTATGGAGGCTGGACTCTGCTCCAGGCCACGGGGATTCAATGGAAGACTATTGGAAGGAAGAAGCATGACAACATTCACTTTTTTTAATAGTATTATTTTTAAAGATTTATTTATTTATTTGGGAGGTAGAGTTACAGACAGAGAGAGGCAGAGGCAGAGAGAAAGAGAGAGCTTCCGTCTGCGGGTTCACTCTTCACATGGCTGCAATGTCCAGAGTTGGGCTGATCCGAAGCCAGGAGCCGGGAGCTTCTTCCAGGTCTCCCATGTGGGTGCAGGGAACCAAGGACTTGGGGTCATCGTCCACTGCTTTCCCAGGTCATAGCAGAGAGCTGGATCAGAAGTGGAACAGCTGGTTCTTGAACTAGCGCCCACATGGGATGCCGGCACTGCAAGTAGCAGCTTTACAAGCTACACCACAGCACTTGCCCCCACTTTTTAAATTTTTTTTTTAACAAAGATTACTTAAAGTGAAGCTCAGATGACAGAAGAGGCAAGAAAGAAACAAGGGAGCTATTTAAGACACGTTAGCAGTCCTCCTATCAAGATAGCAGGAGGCCCTAATTAAGGAGCTCTGATGAAGATGGCTTTGGACAATAGGTTCATACGATGTTAATGTGAAATAATAGGTATTTCCATGAAATCCCTACTATGTGGTTAAATTTTATTTATGTCATTATTTGAGGGACAGAGAGACAGAGATGGATAAGGGAGAAGGGAGATAGAGAGTTTCCATTTGCTGGTTCATTCCCCAAATGCCTGCATCTGCCAAGGCGGGGGCTGCTGGCTGAATTTAAGATCTGGAAACTCAATCCAGGTCTCCACCATGGCTAGCCATCACTGCTGCCTCCCAGGGTCTGCATTAGCAGGAAGCGGGAGTCAGGAGCTGGAGCCAGCTATCAAACTTGGGTACCTGGGCACGGGACACAGATGCCCTAAGTAGCAATACCCCTCCCCGAGTACCTACTTCTGATATACAGAAGTACACGTGTGAATTGTTGGGAAGTCAGGACAGTAGCACACTGCTATGAGAAAAATATGTATTGGCAAATAACCACAAAATCGTGGTGACTAGATCGTGGTTATTTATTTATTTATTTGAGAGTCAGAGTTACACAGAGAGAGGAGAGGCAGAGAGAGGTCGATCTTTCATACAATGGTTCACTCCCCAATTGACCGCAACGGCCGGAGCTGCACCGATCCGAAGCCAGGAGCTTCCTCCAGGTCTCCTGCGCAGGTGCAGGGGCCCAAGGATTTGGGCCATCTTTTACTGCCCTCCCAGGCTGTAGCAGAGAGCTGGATTAGAAGTGGAGCAGCCGGGTCTCAAACCAGTGCCCACATGGGACGCCGGTGCTTCAGGCCAGGCATTAACCCACTGAGCCACGGCACCAGCCCCTAGATCATGTTTTTTTTTTGGGCAATTTGTGCTGTCTTCTTTAGGGGAGTTAGATCATGGGCTTGCTGGGTCTGTCTTCGTAGGTTTATAAGCCTGCTCCCTCCACTTAGCAGTTGTGAGAACTTAGGTGGTTTCTGGGACCTCTTGGGGCCTTATTTGTGACACAAAAACCATCTCCCACTGCTGTGGAAATGTGCCCCTCCTCCTCCGAATTCAGAGGCTTCCTGTGAAGCCCTGACTGCCAGGCTGGCCATGTTGGGAGAAAGGATGTAGTTAAGGTCAAATGAGGTTATGATGGTAGGACCCTGAGCCCATGGGAGTAGTGTCCTTGTCAAGAAAGGACAGAGTGACCAGAGCATACTCATGGCCCTGTCTCTCTTCCTCCTCCGTGCCCTCCCCCCCCCTTCTTCTCTATGTCCTGTTAGGGCACAACAAGAAGGCAGCATATATAAGCAAGGAATAGGGGCCTTACTAGAAACAAAACTGGCTGGCATCTTTTCCTTAGCCTTCCCAACCTCCAGGATTGGGAGAAAGATTTTTCTGTTATTGAAGCCGCCAGTTTACGGTATTTTGTTATAGCAGCCTGAGACAAGACACCTATAAGCTTTGTGTTTGTTTGTAAGCATTAACTATGTTGTGACAATGCACAAAAAGTTTTTTTAAAAGATTTTTTAATTTATTTATCAGAAAGTCAGAATTACACACAGAGAGAAGGAGAGGCAGAGAGAGAGAGAGAGGTCTTCCATCTGCTGGTTCACTCTCCAATTGGCCGTAATGGCCAGAGCTGATCTTATCCCAAGCTAGGAGGCAGGGGCTTACTGCACGTCTCCAATGCGGGTGCATGGGCCCAAGAACTTGGGCCATCTTCCACTGCTATCCCAGGCCATAGCAGAGAGCTGGATTGGAAGTGGAGCAGCTGGGACTTGAAGCAGTGCCCATGTGTGATGCTGGCACTGCAGGTGGCAGCTTTACCCACTACACCACAGCA